TTTGTCTAATATTTCAATTTGTTTGATGATCTGAAACATTTCAGTGTGACAAACATGCAAAAAAAAAAAGAAATCAGGAAGGGGGCAAACACTTTTTCGCACCACTGTATAGTATTTATAATTTTTAGGTGAGGAAATGATGTCAGAAATTATTACAAATTACGGACAGCTGAGGCTGATTGAACTTGGCTGTTGTCATCCCTCCTGAACTTTCATTATAATCTTCTTGAATTCGCTTTCAGGAGGAAACACTAGGCAGAGATGTTTTGAGTAGACTGTTATAACTTGGACTTGCTTTTCATAATCTCTCTCAGTGTGTCCGTGTTCTCTCCCTCTGGAGCTGGGGGCCAGGCGCTGTGATCTGATCATTGTAAACACAGGAGAAAATCAGGCACTTACGGGACCCCAATCACACTCTGGCTTTCTCACTCATAGTTTAAAGATTTTTAATGTTATCAGTATATAACCGAAGTATACTGTACATCATGCAATACTTCAGCAAAGCAGCTGAAAGTCACAAGATCATCTTCTTATGGAAGCAAGATACTTACCTGCCTTTGCTAAACAACTGTTGCTAATGAAGCCGCTGCCTGATGTAGCCTCAGAAAGTTAAGAATATGAGGTGCTGATTTCTCCGCCACAATTTTGCTTGCCATCATAACCCAAAAGCCCTTTAGAACAACTTTTTTTGTGTTGGAACTGCAAAATGTACAAATCTTCAGTCCATTCCTACAGAATCTTGGTGTGCAAATTAAACTTTTAATATGTAATGTTAAAATCTAACATCTCTGTTAGATGTAATAATGTAAGACATTTTACTACTTACAGAGTTGTACCCTTTACAATTCTAGAAGAAACCAGAATGGTAAAGGGTCAAATGTTTTTGTTATGGGAGGAGTTCATAACTTTTTTAATTTACCTGGGCCACAGTTTTTACCATCTTTTGCCAGTGCAGCCACATTCACAGTTCCTGCACAAATTTAATTCTGGCATGAGTCAGAAACTGACTGTCCTGGTAACGTGTCCATTTTACCAGGACAGTCAAAGCAAAACAAGCCATTGATTTGCTACAGTGATTACTTGTGCTTATGTGATTCACCTTCACACTTGTGCTTTTGTGGAATTCACAGGTTTTACAGTTCTTAGCCTAAAGTTATGTTGTTGGTGAGACCATATTAATTTTGTCATCTGGCTAAAGGAAGTCGTATGTTTTTTGGTTTGCTATTAATCCATAATGCATAAATCAGCATCCTTGTGATTGATTATTCTCCTCGGATTATACAATGTGAGAAAATAAAAAAAAGGGTTTTGAGAAAAATCTGCACTATATTACCTGACTCTTTGAGGGTTATGATACATAGATAATAATAAGCCTTCTCTTGCTCTTAAGAAATCCTGGTTAAATTTGCAAATTTAGTAAGATAAGTATTACAATCACATTAGACAATGAACTGTACAGCAAAGTGAGAAAATACTTAATATGCAATCAAAAATTCAGTTACTGATGACATTTAACTCCTATCACTCATAAGTGTTCAGTTTCAGTTCCAATTTCAATTCCACATCTTATTTGAAAATATTCACCTTAAAAATGTGTATACCTCATTTGTAATTAAAAAAATAGGACATCACTCAAAGATATGGCTAATTTTTGCAAGGCACTATATCTTACTCTCTGTTGAGTGTAACACTTTCTGCATTTTTTATTTACTGTTGTTGTTCATATAGAACTGTAAACAAAACTGTAAAAGCATTCACTTTGCAAACAGGTGATGCACATGCACACAAACAAAAGTAATTCTTTCTCTCTAGGAAGCAAATCACAAACTGCAGACAGAAAAGGGGAAAATAAATCGCTCATTAAGAGAAGTACCTGGGACTTTCCACATTGAGCTGTACAAACTCTGACCAGCATCTACTTTGATGGTCTCTCCGGAAATGAAAGAGGCTGCTGGGGACAGCAGGAAGCAGACTGCAGGGGAGATCTATACACAGAAAATAAAACATGCCACTGAGAAGCAGCAACTTTTCCTGCTGTACCCTAATTGCTGACTGATATTCAGATCTTGCTGCATTCTCACATTAACTATGAATATCTCAAAACATATAATCAATCTCAATAACATCTGTAGTCACTTTCTTTGGAAATGTAACTTTAAAGCAGATTAGCTTCATTGGGGAAAACACCAACAGTGCAGCCACTTGTGTGAATCAGTCTCATGTTACTGCTATAACAGATGCAATTTTCCAAATGAATTACGACCAAATATTGCATTTAAGCTTTTTCAAACCAATGCCATTAATTACGTTATAAAAAGTCAATAGCTGATGTGTTGATTACTGAATTATTCTAGAGGCTCGTCGTATTTTGGAATCAAAAGCATAATATTCTGCTTCATTTCCAAATTCTGCATGGGCCTTAATACAAGACAGAGAAAAACATTGGCTCATGATTGAATATGCAAGATCAATCTTCCTTCATAAAGCCTAAGAGGTAGGGGAAACGATATCAAAAGAAAGACCTTTTTAAAGTAGTGTAAGATTGATTCATTTTTATGAGTTGTGCTGTATTTTTATACAAGGATCACGTTACACACCTCTTCTGGGACTCCCAACCTTTTCGCAGGACAGAAGTCAACAGACATCTTAAAAAGCTGTGGCCCTATCTCTTTGTAGTTCGCCATGGCTGTTTTAGAAATGATGGTCCCCTGCAAGTAGAAAATCCAAAATATTAATCAGCCAACATCTTTGAATTCTTTCACTCTATGACAGTAACATTTTTACAAAATACTTTAACCTAAATGGTTTGCACTATTGTTTTTTTTTCTCACACTGATGCAAGCAAATGAAAAGCGGAAAAGAATAGACTTTAAATGCACTTTTAATTCTTGAGAAAAGATGAGAATTCAAATACATCTATTCAGTATTGCAGATTGATAAATGTCACAAATTACTTACAGATCATGCAACTCTGTTCAATACCATTGTTAAAAACATTTATTACTATTTTGAAAACTGCATCTTTATTTTACTGAAAATAAGCAAATATGTACATTAACTAAATATACAGAACTAAATCAATCATGTAAATGCAGTACATTTTCTCCATGGTAACCACAGAGTCAGCCATTCTTGCTAACTCACTAACCGGTGCCACAGAATTGATTCGCACTCCAGAGGATGCCCATTCAATAGCCAAGCTCTTGGTTAGGTTGTCTACTGCAGCCCTGGCTGCTCCAGTATGACTATAGAGGTAGAGACATAAAAACAGCACAGCTTAAAGTGCTACGGAGTCCATTATCAAGTACAGTGAAGAGGATGTGGGGTGCTCATTGACAGTCTGCCAAAGAAATGTTAGAGTAAATTCTCTTGCTGAGAGTACTTTTCCCCTCTTATTGTACCAACATGTAAGAAAAAATACTGTGTAACATTCTTTGCCACAAAGAATGATACTTCTCTGGAAAGATTATTTGAAAATGTCACGCTTCAACACAAAGCCCAAAATCCTGGATTTGTTCCAAGAAAATATTAAAGTAGTTTTGCTAAAATGCTTTAAAACATTTAATTTGTATTAACAAGATTACGCTTAAAAATAACACACCCACAACAGCATGAATTGAGGAAAGCTGTTGACAAGGCAACATGGAAAAAAATAATGAATGCACTTGCAAATTAGTGAGCTTATTTTAAAATGTCTCAAATTCCCATGATAATGAGAAGTAAAATGAAAAAATGAAACAATAAAAACACAAGCAAAAGCTTTAAAATCTGTGAAAGTGTAGAAAAACTCATAAATCAGGACTGTTTTTGGCTTTGTTTGACAGTTTGCCAGGCAGTGTTCAAAATCAGAGCTGGACAAATGTAGTTTAAGCCAAATACTCAAACAATCCAGGTATGAAAAAATAACCTTACTGAGTAAAGGCAGAGGTGCTCTGATTTATTTGTCTAATACCCATTCATTATTTAGCTAAAGCTAAACACTCCTGAACTTACGCCATTCCAGGAAAGCCCTTCCACATGTCAGCGATGATGTTAACAATGGCGCCTCCATGCTCCTTCATCCAGGCATTGTACACTACACAAATATACAAATGACAATGCATGAAGGAGCTCCTTCAGGTTCGACAGCTGTCTGTTTGTGGAGGCAAGTGGCAGAATTATCATTATCTCTTACTTTATGATCAAGTGAGATCCTGTTTTAGACTTTTTCCATGTTTTTTTCCTTTAAGCAAAAATTATATTTCCATCCAATGAGCTTGCAGCTTGTGTCTGGAGTATAACCAACAGGTGAATGATGAAAGACAACTATCAAAACTGAAACCAAAAAAGAATTGATTCCAGAGAGCACATACCTTAGAGGCCAGATGCAGGACTTCAACAATTAATAATTTCATGCAATCTTTCTGTTTTATAGATTAAAGTAGTTTACTTCATATTTAAGTTATCGTTTTCATTATGTTCAAAAATCTAATAATTGTACTGCTTCTTCAATGTCACCAGTTCAATTTGGGGTACCACAGGGATCAGTGCTGGGACCAATATTGTTCTTGCTGTACATGCTGCCGCTAGGTAGGATAATATGAAAACATAATATTAACTTTCATTCATATGCTGATGACACTGAAATATACATTTTGTTTACACAATAAACCCAATAAACAACAACTCGTCTATTATCACTTTAGTTAATTGCATTAATGAAGTAAAGACTTGGATGTGTGAAAACTTTTTGTTACTCAATTCTGGTTCTGTTGTTTGGAGGCAACAATACTGATAAGAGTACTATAACTTCAGCATTAACTCACAGGATTTAAAAATTTCCCTCAAAGAATCAGCATGTAACCTAGGCGTCATATTAGACACAAGGCTCTCGTTTAACTCTCATGTTAAAATAGTATCTAAAACATGCTTCCTACAGTTAAGAAATATTGCAAAACTAAGGCAGTTTCTCTCCACTCAAGACAGAGAAATTAATAGATGCTCTTGTATACAGCAGGTTAGACTACTGCTATGCCCTACTATCAGGGAGAACCCATCACTCTTTCAACACCTTACAGAATGCAGCAGCTAGAATTGTTAGTAGGAGCAGAAAGTAGGACCATATAACACCATATAACACCTATACTTAGCTCTCCTCTTTGGCTTCCTGTCAGGTACAGGGCGGACTTCAAAATCCTTCTATTTACTTACAGTATAAGGCTCTCAGATATCAGGCACCTGTCTATCTAATGGAATTTTTTAATGTCCAAATCCAAGTCGCCCACTTAGATCACAGAATGTCTTCTTCATATTCCACGCATTAATAAAATAACAGTTGGTGGTAAAGTCTTTATTTACAGGGCCCCTAGCTTATGGAACAGTCTCCCACCCAATGTTTGGGATGCTGAGTCAATCTCAGTATTCAAATCCACACTGAAAACCTATTACTTCGGCCTAGCCTACTCACACCTTACATCATAGCCTACTGCAACCATGGCTGCTGGTGCTGCTGTACATGCCATAGTGTGTCTCTGTGTTTGCCCACCAGGTAGATACATCTGTTCTGACCAAACTATCCTATTCTCTTCCCAACATGTCTGGATGGTGCCCGGGCTGGGCACCATCTGAGTTGGATGCTGCATCACTACCATGGGACATTGTGGATATAGCTATCGTTTAGGAGGAATTTACTGGTCTACAGAGATCTGCATGGAGTACTGACATACAGAAGATATGATGGATGGATTAATACCTTTATTTATTTTTTCCATTTTTTTTTAAATTGTATCATGTTAGCATGCCCAAAGGGGTTGGGCAGCCAGTTGACCTTAGACCCCTAGAGGTTTTTTTTCTCCATACTAAGGAGTTTCTTTCCTCCGTTGTCTTTTGGTCTTTTCTGTTCTGTATTCAAAACATCTATGGTCACTTGCTTTGTAAAGTGTCTGAGGGCAACCTTGTTGTGAAAGGGACTTTATAAAAATAAATTGAATTGAAATGTATATGCAGTAAATTAAATTAATCATTTTCTAACTTCATTATCCAATTAAGGGTCATTTGGGCAGCCACACACTCTGGACAATCTGCCAGTACTACGCTACATACACACAACCTACTATATTAACAGAATCTACAAACAAGGTGTTTCAGAGGCCTTATGTCCTAAACACCCAGAAAACCTCAGACTGCTACTAAGTATTGAACTCTTAAATAATGCCCACAGAGGTCACAATAAGAGATAAACTGCCTTCTGCCCTAAAAGTCCCTGTGTTTTATTCCCTAAAAACACAGAATAACAGCTCTCCCAAGCAAAGCTCAAATATTTAGCTCCAATCAGGTTTTGTTTGGATGATCATGAAGTAGGGGCTCTTGCCTGGCACAAGTTTCAAGTTCCAACTCGTCCTGTGATCTTTCTTGTGATCTGACCTCTTTTCTTCTCCTCTTCTCTGCTTTCTGTTGTCTAAATGTGATCTTATATGGTGGTTTCTGGACTGCTCATTGTCAATCATACTTTCCAAACTTTCCAATTTTTTTTTATCAGGGTACCCTTTACTCTCAACAAACATTCCCACTACTGTGAAGCTGGTAATGGTTACATTGCTACAGGTAGATGTTACTAACTTTAAACTCGTAGAGACACTTCCTAGTTCCCTATAGCTGTAACATTACCACATATATATATATATCAGGAGACAGTAAGTCACAAACACAGAATCAAAAGATAGCCATGATTATGAAGAGACACACAGCAGCTGCCTTCCTTGTGAGATACATAAACAAAACAGAGACCAGGGCCTAAAGAATAAGACAATTCACCGCATAGTATAAAGGGCATACTGGCAGTAAAGGGAACAAAACATCTGAAAATGTCCCTTCCACATCATCCCTCTCGCAGTGTAGAAAACTTTAAAAGCTATCGGCTAATGGTCTATCGGCTGACAAAAGACAAAAGGCACTATCATTCTACAGTATAATTTCAAGATCACAAAATGGACTATCCTGTCCAAAATGTACCTTATCCTTCTTATTATAATCATCTGCCAAAATTTTCAATTTGCCTTCTCTTTGTAATAAAACAAATACATTTCAGATTCACTTGTGTTGGAGTGTGACTTTAATGTTCCATGTAGTACTAAAAGAAACAGCAGCTGGAAACACTGCAGCTCAATCCATACCTTCCCGACAGCAGTAGAATGTCCCAGTGAGGTTAGTGTCAATGACTGCATTCCAGCCTTTGGCGTTAATGAGTTCCACTGGACTTGAGAACTGCCCTCCCCCATTGTTGACCAGGAAGTCTATCCGGCCATGCAGACTCAGTGTCGAGGCCACTAAATTCTTTACCTGCATATCAGACAACAGCCACGGTTGCAGCAATGTTTCTTAGGGTTTTTTTTTTTTCATTATTTGATGAATTTTATTTTTTTATTTTTGGAATCTATTTTCCAAAATAAAAGCACAACAATTTATCAAAAAAAGCTAACTGGGTGATCTATATCTAAATAGCTAAAGTAAATTCTAGATACACTTTATCATACTTGCTATTTATGTTTATTTCTTCAAACTGATTTAGTAGAACACCTACATCTGCTAAAATAAACAAGTTTCAAATATGCTGTGGGTGTAGAAAGTATTGACCCCCCTTGGACCTCCACCACATTTCATTGTTGTATAATTGCAATACAATTGAACAGGACTGTTTTTGTACGATGAACAACACATGGGGCATTATCATTGTTTCTAAAAGAAATTTTTTATGAAAAATACAAAACTGAAAAATCCTGCTTGGACAAGTATTCATTCCCCTGAGGCCTTAAGCATTATTAGGTGCTCCCCCTTTTGCAAGCAATTACAGCCTCAAATCTTTTGCTGTATTTTGTAACCAGCTTCTCACATCTTGTGGGTTTAATTTTCACGGCTCCCGCCGTTGCAGATTATTTTTTATGAGAATTAAATCTAGACTTTGACTGAGCCACTTGAGGACTTCTACCTACTTTTTAAGTCACTTGGAGGATGCTTTGTCTTTGTGTTTGGCTTCATTGTCCTGTTAAAATATGAACCTCGGTCCCAGTTTCAGACCTTTTGCAGACTGTTCCAGGTTTTGCACCAAATTCAGCCTATATTTTGCTACATCCATTCTCCATTCTACCCTTTCTTTTGAAGAGCCTACCAGTCCCTGTCAATGAAAGCCACCCCACAACTTAATGCTGCCACCGCCAAGTTTCAATATGGGAATGGTGTTTCATGAGTGATGAGCTCTTTTTTCACCAGATATAACACTTGGAATGAAGGCCAAACAATTCATTTTTTGTCTCATCAGACCAATACATTTTTTCACATAATTCCAAAGGCTCCTACATGTCGTTTTGCATATTCAAGATTAAACTTCCTGTGAGCTTTTTTCAAATATGGCTTCCTCTTGCCCATCATAGAGCCTAGATTTCTAGAGTACCTGACCTATTGTTGACTCACTCAGTTTCTCCCACCTCAATTATGGGACATTGTAGGTTTTGAGGCTGTTTTCAGCTTCTTCCTTGCTTCTCTGACCAATATCCTTCTTGCCCAGCTATTGAGTTTCGAAAAATGACCTGGTCATTGAAGATTTAACAGTGCCCTGTGAGATACTCATACTCATTTATGTCTCTTGCCTGGTTTGTATCATCCACGACTGTTCCTTAGTTGTTTCAAAAGCTCCTTTGTCTTCATATTGTTTTGTATACAATATCCAACAGTGGGAACTCACACTGACAACTGTATTTAACACAAAGACAGTTGTGTTCAATCTGAATGGTTAACTACTTTAATTGACACAGGTGGATTCCAATCAACATAAGGTGCAAATTCTGAAGATTTTTACAGTTTTTCTTTTTAAATATTTCTAGCTTCAAACTTTTAAACACTTTGATATTGTAGAGGATGTTGTATGGACAAAAAGGGAAAACAATATGCAAGTCTATTGTGGTTTTAGGTTGTATCATGGCGGAATACAATGGGCATCAATACCTTCTACACCCACTGAATTCTGCAATTTCCCTCACAGGATTAATAAAGCTTCTATCTGAACATAGGTAACATGGCTTTCTGTTTTTAAAGTGACCTTTTTTCCTACATTTAGCATTGATAAAAGCATGTGCACACTGGCCACGTACTGTTACTGCTGTGCGTTTGGAAATCTCTCATGTCAGGTATAGGATGTATAACTTTTCTCCGTCTCCAGCTTTGTACACTGTATAGTCATCCCTTCTTACCTCTGCCTCACTGCGGATGTTGCACTGAATGGGCGTCACACTAGCAGGACTGGAGACAGGAATTCTCTCTGTTAGTTCTTTCGCTGCGGCTTCTAAGTGCTCTAATTTCCTGGATGAAATGACCACACTGCATCCTGAAAGGAAGAGCAAAGGATAGGGCCATAACTAGAGCAGGCCCAGAGTGAAAACAGCCTAGGGCACAAAACCATGTGAGGTGGAAGTATAACTGAAATGCATTGCCACCCAATCATTTTTAAGGCCTTCACAGCTATCAGCGTCTCCACAGATACCATTAAAAGACTCTCTGGCACCACAGATTTGCTCAGACGTGGTCGTTACAGTGCATGAGGCCCACAACTCAGAAAGGGAATGCATCAAAATTCACTCCCTTCATCCTGCAGGACTAGCATAACCATGAGTAAGTGTGAAAAGGAAATAAACATTTCACAACATATATTAACATCTCTGTAATGCAGATAAACCAAACGGGTACACCATAAGAAATTGATTAATATTTACACTTTCTTACACAAGCTCCCCCTTAAAAGCATCATTCTGAACCGCATCTTGTGACAGGTCTTTATTGACTGGAGTAAAGTCAAGAACATCTGTCTAATCTGTAATATAAAAGTTTAATTAATAATCATACTGCTGTTATAGTGCATCAAAACATGCATGTGTAACTATGCATCTAGTTTGTGTGGTACTACAGCAAATATTGTACTGTGAATGTCTTATTTGTTAGTATTTTACATTATCTTCTTAATTTTAGTTTCCAAATAGCATACAAACCTTGGTAGTTTTAAACATTTGTTCCTGCTTAATCCAACATCAAACTAGCTTGAGTGTTTATTACTCTTCTTGTAACTATAAAGTCTTGGGTTGTGTAAATTGAAAGTCATGAAGAACTAACTGAGAAGGCATGTTTAGGAATTCTATCCACCAAACACATTTTTACCCATGGATTCCCACTTCCAGTCCTGGGGGGCCACAGTCCAGTAGGTTTTATACCTTCTTTTTTAAAATCAGGGTCCCCAATCCTAGGGTGTCCACACGTTTGTGGTCCAACTGCACTCATAGGACTTGAAGCAGCTCATTATTGGCTTAATCAGACCATTTTAACAGCTTCCCCCAGCTCTTCAGGGGCTGGTGCTTTAAGACCAAAAAAACTAGATAATCTTATTTATTTAGACTCAATTATCCTCCGAGATAGATGCTGTGCACCCCAATTTCAATAATCTCATTAAATGTTGATGATGTAATGTAGGGATGGCCATCCCTGATCTTGGAAAATCAAAGATCTTGTAGGTCATCCTTGAATCATCAATTTGTACAGATTCGGAATGCGTGTGAGCTTTGATTCATTTTGATCAGTAATTTTTTTCAATTAAGTTAGGGATGACCAGCTGTGGTCTTTGTGAACTACACATTGTTGGTAATTCTATGTCAATTGATTTTTAGACTGCTTAATTGAGCATCCCACCTTCATCATTGAACAAAACTAAAAACAACAGAAAATGCTGATTTAAGGGTGAACTGTCAACCTGCTAGACTAAGACTTTCTGGAGCCAGGACTAGCCACACCCGTATACATAATGACTGAATAGATTCAGTTTGGCTATTGCTAGTGTGAGGAAGGGCTCTTCTGTATAAAGAGGGTTCTATCTACATTTTTAAGCTATGTTTTTATCAGATATTTCTTTAATAATGTTATTTAGTTACTACTTTAATTTAAGTTACACAAAAATGCTTTTAAAATAACAAATAAATGTAATGCTAATATAATTAAAAAATGATAAAAATTTATTGTGTTATTTGTCAAATTAAGTTTATTGTATCTACTTTTTGGACTTGGTGGGGAAAAGGTAAAGGTCAAATACTGTATGTGTTCTGTAAATATGCCAAACCATAAATATTGTAACACATACGGCCACAATTGCAGGTTGTTCGAGCCGGCTTACCAGCGCGGTAAAGTCACCGCGCTTCCCTGTGAATAACAGGGAGATTTCCCTTTAGCTCAACTGGCTGGGTCCCTGTTGAGTGACGCCGGAGGGCCGGGTTTGAGTCCCCAGCAGTGGGGGGGGGGGGGCGACCCGAGGCGAGGGCGCATACCCACGTGAACCCGAGAGCGCTACAATATTAAGGAGGTGTACTTAATTTTTCAACAATATGCCAAAGAGCATAATAGCGTAGTTTGTCAATTATGGAGTAATATCAATGCAGCTTTTTTTTATCTTCTAGTTCTAGAAACTATTTACTTTCAATTTCATTTTTATGTAATAAAGCTTAAAATATTCGGGAGAAATGAAATTAAATTTCGAATGAAATGAAATAGAACAGCGCACGAAGCTCACAATTAATTCATTCAGACATTTGTTAAAACTGGTAAATTAAAAGAGAAAGTACACCATTTCAAGTCAGGGAACTTCTGTTAAAGAATATGTAGCAGATCTGTGCAAAACGTTTCTCGGTGAAAGTTCAACTGCTTCTGCCTGATGTGTTTAAAAGATGATTCTGCATATCCGCGATTAATTATAGAAGTTTTACATTTCTTTTGCGCTGTGACACATACCCAAATGGACTAGCTCCGAAGTGATCGCCTTTCCAATGCCCGTCCCGCCGCCAGTTACAATAGCCACTTTATGATTGAAGAGTCCGAACTTGAACACACTGGAGGCAGCCATGTCTGTAGCAAGTTCATTCAATCACGTGACTATTTTCCTTTTAAATTTGAGTCTTTGTTTTTAGGAGATCGGTACTACCACTTAAAACATTTAAAAGGATTTTGAAATTGAGAAAATGTTTCAACCTTACTTTCCCCTGTGGATTACACTGTGCACTGGTGGAACTTAAGTATAATTGGCACACACTCTTTTCCGTCAGTTTAGTCAAAAAAGGTATGATTGGTTGTAGACTTTTCAAGTCGTATTAAGCCAAAGAAGGGAAACTTGTGACTAAAGCAATTACAGAAATTACCCCCAACTAATTAAAAAACAATAATTCATAAACTGTGCAAATAGTTCAGCCCACCTTGTACAATAATACAATCGTGCATCTGTTTTGGGGCTGTAAATTTCACCTTTAACATAATTTAATCTGTATTCTGCAAATAAATAGATCCCTAGATGAACAGAGAATTAATAATGAGAGGACCTTCTGAAAAAGTAGTCGGATACCCTATATACCCTCTTTACCAAAGACTGTTTTAGGAATAACTTATTGGTACCAAAATACCAAAACAATTTAATGAATTGACCACGCGAACGTCATTACTGATGCCTTTATTTTGGTTAATAATAAATTTGTATTACTGTTTCACAAAGCAAGATCGAATTGTATACGTTTAAATAACTATAGCAACATACCTATTCCTAAACTGCTCCGTGCAGTTCAGCCTGCCTTTGTAGTTAAAACCTCAGACTCCTGTGTACCCTACAAAAATAGCGTCACGTTTGTTAATAGATCCACTTAATTTTATAAGCTTTTGCGGAGAAAATTAAAGTTTAGATATCACCATAATCCTTTACCGTTAGCTGATAAAATGTATTTGAAAGATACTGTTTCAGTAGACAGGGTATACTTAACATTCATTATCTCTTAAGCTCAAACATTGTTAATACTACTCGTAACTCCGCGTTAACAGAAACTAAGTTACACTGGGATGAGATTCCCTGCCACTTGTACCGTTTTTTACTGTATTGACGAATCGGGATGCTTCAGGAAAGCGACATTGTGTCGTGCACTCAAGAAAGTTGAGATTAGTACTCATACGGTTTTTGTATGCATTCACTACATTTCTGGGTCATGCAATAGTGAATATCAAACAGGGCTTTCATGAAATAGGTAATATGCTCTTATACAGTATTAACTGTTCCCTATAGGTATGTACCGGGTTTAAAACATTTTCTTTTAGGATTTCCTAATGTAATAGGTGCTCTAGACTTCAGTCATTAAAACCTTTACAGGACCAAACAGGAAATTAATTCACAGTATCAATGTAAAGGTGAAAAAAAAATCTAGCATAAAAATATGAACATGGATTACAGAAAAGACACTATAGTAACTATCAACCATTTCCATGAAAATAAGTTTTTAAATGTGTGTGTATACAATGAGTGTTACCTAATCGTAGCAGGTCATAATGTAGTTTTCATCTTCAGTGTATCATTTGTTATAAGATGATCTGTGATGCATGATGTCACATCAGCAATGTGTATATGACTCGGATTTTTAGAGTCCACGTTATTCTATGGTATATGTTTGGACTGAACAAAAAAAAATAATTTATCTTTATTACAATGTGTTGTTAAGGAACTTTGTTAATCTTCGTTAATTTAGTTTCAGGTCAATTTTTCTGGGCTTTTTATTTGGGACAGAACCTAAACATGCAACACGTAATTAATGACCCCCTACCCTCACAAGATCAAACAGCCAAGAGTCCACACTAGGATAACATCTGTAATCTTGAAGTCAAAATTTCAGTGTCTTAACGGTCTGAGGGTAGCCGCAGGCAGGTCATGCGAAGTCATTGTTGCATGTGCTCTGCTGCATAACATAGCCGCCCTCAAGGAAATAATCCTGTGCCCACCCGCCCACACACCTTATGCAACTCACCTTCCAACCAAGTCATCCTGACAACAGAATGGCAGTTACAAGAGACATCGTACCAGAACATCATTCAAATGGTGATAATTTTTTAGGATATACTTTTTTCTAATTGTATTGTTACAAATTATAATAATACAAAGGGGGCTACGAAAATTGAATATCAGGGACTGATTGAGCAGTTAAGTCAATAAGTAAAATAATTATTCATAACCCCCAATTTGTAAGTGATTTCTCCAGAATAATCCTGAGCAGGTGGTATAGAGGCACGTGAATTTCTCTGGCACAGCTTTGATGAAAAGTTATAATGCAGACATACTTGGTTAAACAAGTGTTTATTAACAATGACAATAACATTACACTACACAGAACAAAAACATACAGCACACAAGGCATCCAAGAGGCCTAATGTTCTTGTCACCCAGAAAACTCCGGACTGTTAGCAAGTATTAGACTCTTACGCAATCCCCATAGAGGCCAAAGAAGCAATAAACTGCCTTCTGAATAAAACAGAATTCAGTTAAATCTCTCTGCAAACCTGGTTGCTACTAAATAAATGGGAGCCTTTCTACCTATTCTAAAAATGCACCCCCCAAGTAGTTAAGGCCGTCTTTAACATAAGTATCATTGACTAAGGAAATCAAAGTTCCCTAAAAAAAAAGAATAGCTGCTCTCCCAAGCAAGGTTCACTTAGTTCCAATCGGGTTTTGTCGGCATGATCATAAGTAGGGCTTTTCACCTGGTGTAAACTTCAAGTTCCAGTTCCTCCTGATGCCTCTCCCTCTTGTGGTCTCCCTTTGCCTTTCTCTTCTTCTTATCCAATCTTATATTGTGTCTTTCCTAGCTATTGATTGACACTAAATCATTTACCCAGAATTTAATTATCCAAGGTAACCCAGAAGTAACCCAGAAGACTCTGTGGACCAAGTTTCCACACCCAGCACAACTAAACATTGCTTGGTTGAAGTTCTAGCAAGTGGAAATATTGACACTAGTTAAGTATAAGGTTTATTCCATGTTGAAAAAAAGAAGAAAGAAAACACAATGTTTTGGTCATGGAGCCTTCTTCAGGTATCGCCGAACTGTTGTTTTCTTTCTTCTCTTTTCAGCATGGAATAAACCTGTTACTTGTTCCTTTGCAGCCTATGCATGGTGCCACAGCTACCCACCTGAACTACTAGTCAAGTATTACCACTGTCTAGATTCTCTAGAGATCTCTGGTGTTATGTACTTCCAGCCTGTAACCGTATTTAGAGTAAAGTTATCATCCAATTATATTTAGGTCACGTTTACACCTGGATTGAAATTTTTGGAACATGGGTCAAAAAAAGTTGATGTACAACACATTTAGAAAAAAAAAACAACCCAATAAAGGAATAACTTATGTTGATCATGATTCCCCCTCCCTCCAGTCTTTTTACCTATGCTTCATTTTGTTGGCTAAATTTAGGAAACATTTTCAAAGGGTTGTGCTCCGCTGTATATTGTATATGAAGAACCACACACCACTTTGGATGATCTTGATCTGCTGCCAGGTCCGTCCATTTTGGTTCAGCTGCTTGCATAAATTACTGCTGCATAAAAACAATATTGTAAAACTAGCCAACAGTTTAAACAGGACCTCCACTTCAATGCCATGTTTTGTCATATCTTGAGATACTTCATTACATAATTAACATGCATTCCCTTTATCTGTGATTCTTGCCAGGCATCTTCTGTGGCTTTTCCAGTAGCTACCGTATTACACATTGCCATTAGAACAGATTTGATCTCCTCAGGAGAAGAGCCATAACTCATGGTCACTGGAATTTAATTGAATAAGATGCATGTTCTTTCACTGTGGTTTTTCGTGTCCAAACGAAGGACTTGATGCTCTACCCTCCTGCCTTCTGAAGATTGGCAAGAACACGCAGTCATATTGATTGAACCTGAATTACTGTAACCAAACAACTAGAGCAAATCTGAACTTCATGAAATTGCCCCACTGGTTTCAGTTTAGGAAAACATGAGCTCAGTTTTGGTTCTATGGGTATTTTCCATGTGCACAGCTCAAGATGTCAATTTACTACTTCCTTGACAGTTCAATAGACCAAAGCTTACCAATTATTTCCAAATCCTATGTTCTTATTTGGCACACCATGTCATGTTTTCAATATTTCACTGTACTGGTTTCCCCTCGGTTTACTACCTTGATAACCTCATACTAATGCCATCTACCAAATATAACCTGTGATGCTTTTTAAACCTCCTATCAAATTAGTCGACTACTTTAGCGTCATTATTAAAAACACTTAGTACATGTTGGCAGCATAAAGAACTGCTCCCAACAAGATTTAATGTCTTCATGAAACATTAATGGTAATCTTCCCTTATGTCAAATGCAAACATTTAATGTTTTATGTAATTAACTCAAATTCTAGATGTTACACTGTATTATAGGGTAAAACCCAAAACACCCAATAAACAGAATAACATCTAAAACACTGCATATTGATATTCATTTATTTCACAACCTGGAAAAAAGCAGGAAAGGTGCAGACCAACAGTAACTAAAGAGTGTGTGCTTTGACCAAGTGACCTATTCCAAAACTACCATATTTAGACAAAAGGTATAGATTATTAAGTCCTGTTTATTATCTTTGAGTCCACCATAACTAGAAAAGGGCAGAAAATTAATAACTTGGATTATAAGGAACAATTAACAGAAAAAATCAATTTAAGTACAGCACAATTTAGCTTTCACTGCAAGAACCAAGGGTTCTAACTCAAGGAATAAGTGCTTTTGGTACTATCCTGTTCATTACAGGATAGAGGAAATGACATCTGCAACAAGTTGCATGCACTGTGCAGTGCACTCTACAGATAGTTTGGTATATTAGAAAAACTACTAAAACTAAAAAATAGTTAGAGTCAGTTAAACTGAACACAATTGCTCAGCTGTTGAAATCAAACGATGTAAAGAAATGCAAAACAGATTTTCCTGAACAGTGTGATTAAGAAAGCACAAGCACCTGTGAAAATGTTCATACTACTATAAAGATTTTCCTTTCTTTTTCAATAAACAAAATCAAGTCTCAACAATTAAGCCTTAGTATTTCAAATATTCTATATTTAAAAAAACTCGGCATCTATCCATCTTCTAACCATTCTAAACAATACAGGGTTGCTGAAGCCTATCCTTGAAAACAACAGGCGCAAGGCTGGATATGCCCTGGACGGGTTGCCTATCCACCGCAGGGCAGACGCAGACACTCGGAACCAGGGCTACTTTTTCTCATAAGCCAATTAACCTACCAGTATGTTTTATTTTTTACTTTGGGATGAAACCGCAGTGCATGGAGAAAATCCACACTAAGAGAGAACATACAAACTCCACACATGAAACTCCAGAAATGAACCCTAGGCCACAGAATCAATGCTAACCACTGTGTCCCCCCTCAACATTTAAAAATAACAAAAAAAAAAGTTATTAAAGCTGTTCAGTAGTAATTAAAGATCTTGGGATTAAAGCACCCATTTCAAACCTTATTAACCAGCCCATTCATAAGCTTTTTACCATATCACTAGATAACATAACTTGAGAAAAAGTCAGAACAGAACAGGAACTGCACTGTGATAAAAATCCTACCATGAAGTCCTTGATGTAGAAAGCGGTTTAGTTTCAAATGTTAGGACTTGGCTCAAAAGCAACTAGTCCTGTACCATTTGGTTGAGAACGAGAGTGACAGACCCTCCACCAAAACCATGTGTCATTATACATATTCCTAACAGCAGCAAGTGGACAAATCCGTATATTTCTTCCAGACTTCACACTGGACAAGAAGGCCGAGTTTTAAGACTAGGAAAAAAGGACAAAAACTTAAAGGCAAATCCCACACATGTGGTCTCCTTTATTGTGTGATGTTTACCAAAATGTACAAGACTGATTAAGAGTCCATATCAGATTTGTGTTAGATCTATGTTAGATCAGAGGCTCACTGAAGTTTACTGATCCTTGAGCTCCTTCAGTCTTCTGATAGCAGACTTCACGGTGACTGCTGATGTTGTGCTGGAAAAGTAAAGATATACCATCAGATACACAATATCACAGACCCTAGTGATTTTTACACACACAAAATTGTCAGTTGAGAATAAGAACATACCGTGTCACTACTGAAGAATGAAGAGATAAGAGAGATGCCCTGGAAGTGAGATATCATTTTCTTGTTTTTACAAACTATGCAATCTAGTGGCTTGACGTAGGCATTGTGCTCAAATGTATATAAAGATGCTGCCTGTCCTTGGTCAGTAAGATAAGGGGCATGTATTTGGTAAGCTGGCTGTACGCCCAGAATATGAAAAGAACTAACTGTTGTCTAGTCTGCAACTTAGATATAATTAATTGGCAGGTGTTGCTGTTTTATCATTTGTTTAGAATGTCATAGTAACTCTTTGTGTTTTAAGGTATAAAGGACCATCTTCAGCTACTTATTTTTTTAAGTCTGGTGGTCGCAAGCCGGACTTCCATATGCATATGAATAAAGAGACTTCTGCTTCACAGACACCTGAACTTTGTCATTTGTTTGACACTACACTACCTACTCAGTGGCAAACTGTAATATACAAAAAAATCCATAAATGTCCAGGTTTTAACTGTTCCTTAAAACAAATCACTCTTTATTGCCTCTGAAAAAATACGTCAAATTTTTGAGAATGTGTCCAAACCTCTCCATCTTAAATCAGACACTAGCAGTCTGCATGTTTTTTAAGCTTCCAAATATTCTTCTACGTTTACAAAAAAGTTCAGTTACAAAACAAAAAGAGATATGAAAACCACATGGCTGTGGCACATCATTTTCTCAAATACTGCTGTGTGCGACTTACTTGTATGTCCAAGCACCTCCAGCAACAGTTTTCATGCAGGACCCACAGTTCCAGATGCCAACAGCCCTTCTCTTCATCTTGGTCTGTAAATGTTAGCAAACCAGGAACTTTTAGTGAAGGGAGCAATAGTCAAACCATGCAGATTTTCAAGTGTATTGTTATTTTCAATAATATTCGTGCCCCCTAATAAACACCTATTATTGAAGATGCTATCAAACCTATTTCCTTCAAAAAGGTTAATAAAAAGAAGTAAAGCTTTGCTTTTGTAACTCTTAATGATCATCACATAATATTTTATTATATTATAAAGTTAAGCATGATTTCCCCTAATTACTTGTATTTGAACACTTTAAATCTAAGAGCAGAAACAGTATATTCATTTATATACTCTGGCACCTCAGGGAATGCACTGCAGTATTTCTCCATTACAGTATAACCTGAAAGTAAGAGGACAAGCAAATCCTGTAAATGGTCCCTCTTTGAAACTGGATCATGCCCTCAACTTGCTGGGCTTACCTTGCCACAGAAGGAGCATGTGTACTTGGCATGCTGGGTGATTTCTATCTTCTTCACCATCTTCCTGAGGGAGGCACCATAACGGGTGCCGTACTTGCCAACAATCCCAACCTTCTTGGTGCGTTTGGCCTGTGTAAACATTTTAAAGCATTTTAGTTGCACTTATGTCCAGTTAAAGTCTGTAAGCAACAACTGGAACCTGTGAATGGTTATGTTCTTGTAAAATTGTTTAACTTGTTTGGTATGGCACTAGACTGTGCTTTAGGTCCCAGTCGGATGGTGTTTCTACTGGTTTTCTAGTTACCTAAATCAGTAGCCCCTGAAGAGCTGGGAAAGAATATTAAACTGGTCCAGTTAAGACACTAACCTGCTGGTTATGCTAGTTAAGAACCGAGAATGAGGTATACCCATGATGAAGCACAGCACATTACTCAAATCACAAAGTATCTCAGAAGCCAACAGTGTTAAGACTAGGAATGCATTTCCTGATCAAGATCCCTCTAATCAACCACACTGCCAACAATCTTGCTGTATATGAGTTCTGTTGAGCTGTTCATGCAGTATATTTTTATATAATTCAAGTCACTCATTAAGAGATCTTGATGTTACACATTCCACCACCCTTCATCTACAAACTAATTTCTACACTGAGAACTGTAAATACAAGTTCAGAATATTCAGGGTAACATCCTTTATTTGCAAAACTAGAAAAAAATGTTTTCCGTTTGGGATTTGGGTTTTCACAGTTTTATTTAAAATAACGTAAGCGACAGTATGCTTTCAAGTCACCACTACTATTTTCTCCCGGCAATATGCAGGCAGCCATTGCTACGGAGTACAAACACCACAATATATATTTTCTTGCAACTACGCAAAGATTTAGACTAATGGCCATAAAAGAACGTAATTCAATGTCTGTACGATAAACTCCTAATTAAAAAAATAGTATTAAAGTATAATCAAAGAGGATGGTTTGGGATTAAACATAATATTATCTTCAGCTCATCTCTCACTCACCATCGTAGGAAGGGGTTTAGGTCCAAAAGAAGGAAGTTCTTACTGCGCAGTCGCGCTATAGTAGACAAAGAATGGCATTGTGGGATGTTGGAGGGTTATCTCATTCGAATGTTTCTCTATAAACATATTCTCAACCAAATAAATATGTGATTAGTTATTAATATATTTCCCTCCCGATACTTAATATAGAATTATAGCTGCTAGCTTGGTTTTTCAATCATGCCAATATAAGCACTGATTGAAAAGTGAATGCATAAAACGTCTGCATTTCGTTAACTGTACGAAACTATGTGTATATAATATATTTATTCATTCCGCATCGTCATTTGTGAGGTATCACTAAACAAATTTTAGGATTGCTACAACTCTTTTAATGGCTTAAGAATAATTACCATCTTCATATACAATAATACCACATTAATTATCCTCCCAAACTATCTTTGCCTAATTATTAGGACCTGAGACTGCATGCTAAGTTTAATTTAATTACTAACTTATCGACTGTGTCGAATCTATTTTAACCCATGTTATTTTATTTTCTGTAAAATTTCTCGGCAACAAGCATCGATAATTATATAATTCTCTGTGCTCCACAATTACCGTTGACAAAACTACGTTTCCCTTCAGTACTGTCGCATACAATTCCCATGATACATCCGGATGCCCTTACTCTAAAATGCCACGAATCGGATTCTTGCAATTTAAAGTTACATAATTACGGTTTACTTAGAATTACTTAGAATATATATTTATATTTTTAAAATTATTTTGTCACTCTTAGTTGTTATTTTTTCTCATTTGCCAATTTGCTAATGTGACTATTTTGTTTTGTTTACAATTGAGGACTAAGGCAACACATAATGAAAACATACACTGGCTAAATGAGATAATCGGATCTATAAGTTGCTATTAAGCAAATTATTAATTAAGATGACTCAGATAATCTTTTTGTCACTGTTCTTAAGTACTATGCTATTTTATATTCTTCATCTAATATTGCCAGCAGTCTCTAACATATCTCAAACATTATAATATAGCAACATAATATACATGAAGAAGGCTCCACGGCCGAAACGTTGTGTCTTCTTTCTTCTCTTTTCATCATGGAATAAACCTATTACTTGTTCCATTATATACATGAAGTACAGTAGTGGTTACACAAGAACTGTTTAAAATGTTGTGTTCCGACTAAAGATGCTACTATCAGACGAGGCTGAAGTTGGCTTCTTATTCACCAGCTTCTTATTCGCGTTTTTCGTTCCACCTTAAGTGCTGCTGCTGTGATGTTATGTCTCCTTTCACCTGTAGATGGCTCTCTACAGTTTTTTTAAATGTACTAATGGATTACTGCATATATCCTCAGTAAAGGGGAATATGTAAGTAAATAGTGACTGTCCAAACTGCATTTTTGTATGAAACACATTTCAGAAATTGAAAACCAGTTATCAAAACTCACAATAACACAATCTAGCATGTTAGACAACGAGTAAATAAGACAAAGGCAAAACGTGAATTCACTGACACTTTCTGCATATTTACCAAGACCTTGCCTTCTGATCATTAAAAGTCTCAAAAACTTGCATTTTACAAGAAATTTTAATTCAGCAGTTTTAAGTGGGACATTTAGAACATGGCATATGAGAATATACAGTTAACAGAGGATGAGCAAAGGGTGATAGCACTTTCTGCTTATTGCAATGAACCTACCTCCTAGTTATAAAATTGTCTCACAATTCTGACACCAAGGTGTGAGAGAAAATGTAACAGCCTTTCAAAATCCTGAACTACAGGAAATTTTTCTGTACCATTTTTTAAATATGACCCTCTGAACATGGCATGAGAGAATACAGTATATTGGGAAAAAGTGAATGCACTTTCTGCTGTATTGCTACGCCCCTCCTTCCCGATGATAAAAACGTCTCAAAATTCTGACACTGAGGTGTGAGACACAATGTAACAGTCTATGAAAATCATGAAGTACAAGAAAGTTTACTGTACTATTTTTTAAATATGACCCTATTAACATGGGATATGAGAAGACATTGGCAAATGGTGATTGCACTTTTTGCTGTATTGCTGTGGCCCTCCCTCCTGATTATAAAATCCTCTCACAATTCTGACACCAAGGTGTGAGAGACAATGTAACAGACTTTCAAAATGTTGAACTTCAGAAAATGTTACTGTACCATTCTTAAATATGACCCTCTGACCATGGCATGAGATAATGTATTGGGCCTTTCCTTCCCTGATTATAAAATCGTCTCAAAATTCTGACACGGGGGTGTGAGAGGCTCAGAAATGCAACAGTGTTGTAATTACAAATGTACATGATGAGTGATTTTGTCTCTCTTACCTTAGTGTCGGAATATTAAGATCTTTTGGTAATGAGGAAGGAGGGACAAAGCAAATCAGCAGAATGTGTGCTATTTTGTTGACTATAAATCCTCTCTTGCCATGTTCAGAGGATCATATTAAAAATGGTGCAGTTAAATTCCCTGTAGTTCAGGATTTTGAAAGTCTGTTACATTGTCTCTCACACCTTGGTGTCAGAATTGTAAGACAATTTTATTACCAGAAGATAGGTTCATAACAATAAGCAGAAAGTGCGATCATCCTTTGCTCATCCTCGGCTAACCGTATATTCTCATATGCCATGTTCTAAATGTCCCATTTAAATCTGCTGTATTAAATTTTCTTGTAAAATTCAAGATTTTGAGACTTTAATGACCAGAAGGCAAGGTCGTGGTAAATATGCAGAAAGTGCCAGTGAATTCACATTTTGCCTTTGCCTTATTTACCTGTTCTCTAACATGCCAGTTTTTGTTATTGTGAGTTTTGAAAATTGGCTTTCGATTTTCTGAAATGTGTTTCATACAAAAACGCAATTTGGACAGTCAAAATGTATGTACATATTCCCCTTTACTGAGGATATGTGCAGTAATCCATCTGGATTAGTATTGTAGCGCATTCACTTGGGGCTGCGGCTGAAGAGCGCCCAGCTGGGGTACAGGCCGAGGGGCAGGATGGGAGTAGTAGTGGTCAGGGCGGGGACTAGGAAGGCCGCTGACCAGTGATGCTGACCCATTGCAAAACGGGTGTACAGTTTGGTGAGATCGCCCAGATTCTACGTCCTGGTGGTGGTGGACTACTTTACGAAGTGGCCTGAGGCTTATGCCCTCCCAGATCAGAGCGCATCCACCGTAGCAGGTACAGACCTGCTGAAATAGTTCCCTGGTTTTGCACTCCTGTTATACTTGCACCAAATTGCCACCATATCCCTGTGTAGCTATCCAAATAGACCCCTGTGTGATGCTCTCTTTCTTGTTCTCTCTGGCGCTCGCTCATTCTCTCTCTCACTCTCACTCTGTCTCTCTCTGCTGGCGCGCAGGCGCGGGAGTGCTGTGCTGGCGGTGCCAAAACATAAAGCACCATTTTTCACTCAACGAGTTACTGAGTCACTGTGTCCATCCTCGCCAAACCCTAAAATACTACATTGGTGTCAGAAGCAGGAGGATGGACAGTGAGCAACCATTGACTCATCAGTTCCCCCAGCAGCAGAGCAACTCCCTAAAGCGCCTTTTGGGGGCGAGCAGCAGCCACCAGGGAGACACCAGACCCGGCCAATGCACCAGACGGGAAGGAGACCACAGTCCAGCAGGGTCCAGCCTGCCACCCCTGCACCAGCCGGCACCGGTGCAACCGAGCAGATATAATGGGGAGGTTCCATGACAACTTTTTGAGGCATGGCTCTCACACAGTGTGAGATTGACACTGGGGATGGGCGGCCAATTCGCATTCCGCCCCGGCAGATGGCCTACATCATGAGGGCAGCCGGTGAGCAGAAGGTTCGGTAGATGGCCGTGGCGGAAGTAATCGAGCCTTCCACGAGTCCGTGGTCTTCCCCGGTCGTTTTAGTCCGGAAGAAGGACGGCTCGTGGAGGTTTTGTGTAGACTACAAGAAGCTGAACAAGGTCATCCGGAAGGACTCTTATCTGCTGCCCCGGATGGATGATGCGCTGGACTACATTTCCTGGGTTGACCCAGTTCTGCTTGATCTCTGCTGTGGTTACTGGCAGGTTCCGCTCGCCCCAAGGCTCGCCCGAAGATGGCCTTTCCATCGGCCAAGGGCTCTGGCAGTTCACAGTCATGCCTTTTGGACTGTGTAATCCCCCGGCGACATTTGAGTGGTTGATGGAGCGAGTGCTGGCATCGGTTCCTGGGAGCAAGTGCATGGTGTACTTGAACGATTTACTCGTGAATGCCCGGGATTTCGAGCAGCCCCTGTCGAACCTCCGGTTAGTGTTGACTTGCATTTGGCGGGCTGGATTGAGGCTCAACCCCCGAAAATGCGAGCTCCTGCTGCGGGAGGTCACTTTCTTGGGGCACGTGGTCGGGCCGCGAGGGGTGGCCACAGACCCGGGGAAGGTCACCAGGTTGCGCAACTGGCCGGTACCCCGCACCGTGACGGAGCGCCGCACTTTCCTGGGGTTGGCGTCTTATTACCAGAGGTTTGTCCGGGACTTCGCCAGCCTCGCTGTCCCACTGCACCACCTAACGGATAAAGGGCAGCGTTTTGTGTGGGACACGGACTGTGAGGCGGCCTTCCAGGGGCTGCAGGAGGCACTGGTGGGGGCCCCCCTCCTGGTCTTTCCGCATCCGACGCTGCCCTGTGTGCTGGATACGGACGCCAGTGATACCGGGGTGGGTGCAGTGCTAGCACAGGAGGGGCCAGGAGGAGAGAGGGTCGTTGTGTACTTTAGCCGGGCGCTCAATAAGGCTGAGAGAAATTATTATGTCACCCGGAGGGAGTTGCTGGCTGTAGTCTCGGCAGTCCGCCACTTCAACCCCTGTCTGTTCGGCACCCGGTTTAAACTGCGGACGGATCATGCGTCCCTCACCTGGCTGCTCAGTTGCAAGGAGCCGGAGGGTCAAATGGCGAGGTGGATTGAGATCCTGCAGGAGTACAACTTCACGGTAGTGAACGCAGACGATCTTTCGTGGAGAACCTGCGAGGCAGCGGACTGCCGCTATTGCGCATGGCAGGAGCAGGGTGAGGAGGATGCCGGTGTGGACATGGCACAGCAGCAGGAGGCAGACCCAGACATTGGGCTGGTGCTCCGCTGGAAGGCGGCAGGGACCCGGTCCGCACGGGAGGAGCTCACCCCTTACCCCTTGTTTGCTGGGGGTAGCAGGTATCCTCCAGTGGTGAGGTCAGGTGGCAGCTAGTGGTGCCGCAGTCGCTCAGCGGCGCAATTCTCTAAGCGGTGCATGCCCAGCCGGGCGTGGGGCACTTTGGCTCTGCGAAAATCCTGCAGCGACTCCAGGGCCACTTCTACTGGGATCTCTGTCACCGGGACGTGGAGCAGTTCTGCCGGACGTGCGGGGTTTGCATGGCCCAGAAGGGTCCTCCCGGGCGCCCCTCCAACAACATCAGGTTGGGGCGCCCCTGTAGCAGGTGGGGGTGGACGTGCTGAGCCCGTTTCCACACACTGAGGCGGGCAGCCACTACGTCCTGGTGGCGGTGGACTACTTTACGAAGTGGCCCGAGCGCGTCCACCGTAGCAGACGCCCTGCTGAAATAGTTCCCTGGTTTTGCACCCCTGTTATACTTGTACCCAATTGCCACCCTATCCCTGTGTAGCTACCCGAATAGACCCCTGTGTGTTGCCCCCTCTCTCTTGCTCTCTCTGGCGCTCGCTCGTTCTCTCTCTTACTCTGTCTCTCTGTCTGCTGGCGCGCGGGCGTGGGAGTGCTGTGCTGGCTGTGCCGAAGAATAAAGCGACGTTTTTCACTCAACGAGTGTCTGAGTCACTGTGTCCGTCCTTGCCGAACCCGAAAATATAACAGTATATTTAATGATGACTGTAGAGAGCCATCTACAGGCGAAAGGAGACATAACATTACAGCAGCAGCATTTAAGGTGAAACGAAAAACGGGAATAAGAAGCTGGCGAATAAGAAGCAAACTTCAGCCTCGTATGGAGTAGAATCTTTTGTGTTTAAAACAGTTACAACCATATTATTGTTATTGCAAACGCGGAATAACTGAGTTACAGATACATTCACATTTTCACGGTGTCAAAGGCTGCACTACCTAAACAAACTGGCGATGTAAAATGCGAACATTCGCGAGCAGTAAGCGCGAGAGCGATTTATGCAGCACGATTGCTGGATGCCCGTTGGCGGCTCGTGAGTGCCCTGTGATCCACAATGTCGGGTGTGTCATACGCATTAAATATTTAAAAGCCATCCACTGCTCGAAATCATATTTAAAACTTGACGATTGTATATCGGTAGGTATTATTTGTAAGTGTGTTTGGTAAATACGAATTAATCTGGGTTGATGATGTGAGCTGGTAACTGTAGCTTTATCAGGTAGCAACTCAGGAAAGCCGTGGTATGTCGATTACAAACCTTTACAAAGGTAAACTTACAGAAGTCAGTTTACAAAAAAACTGTAAAAAAAGGTTTCCTCCATGTTTTAATTTTCTTCTGTTTTCTCTTGAACTCAAGTGATTCGTATTCCTTTGTAAAACATGGACACAACATGAAATCTGAACCGTTTTTTTTACGATAACAGCAGCCAACCTTCTTAATAAAATGAACGAACAGGCTTAAAAGTGGTGAAATAAATTAATATATTCTGTTATAATTGTTTTGAGTAGTGAAGACTAAGTTGTTTATTTTATCGATGTTATGTGTGCATCAGTTGACCTCACAATTTGACAATAATATCAGAAATCTACAAAGCATTTACTTCATCAGCAGTTGCCATCTCAAATTGTATTTGCTTTCAAAAAGTAAGGTTCTTGTAAAACTTATAAGAAAGATACTAGTTTCATTCCCTGTGCAGATTAGGTTTTTGTATGATGTGAGGATTTTGAAATATTGTTTCTTTTTATTGTGTTGAATGCACCTTTTGGGAAAAATGTGTTTGCTATTGAAAATTTGCAATTTGCTTGCAACCTGTTTTTAGAACGACTCGCGAAACCAGTTGTGTCACAAATTTGAATTAGCAGTTATATTTTTGTACATAAGGCATGTTGAATTGCACAGGTGCAGAAAACATTACAATACGGTACAGCCAATAGAAGCTAATATAATCTGCTAATATAAGCTAATATAATCTCCCCCTGCTACCAGGTAATTTCAAGACTGCAGCGTTACAAGTACGACAAGGAAACAGTTGTAATGTTTATTCTTTCTGTTGGTATTCAGGCTTAAATATGGAAGAAGAACAAAATCCTTTAACAAATTTGAGCAAACTCTTACTGCAACTAGGTGAGTCATGGAAGAGCCTTATTTTAATATGGTCTTCCAGTTACAATAGATCAATATTTTTTATACAATTATGCATTAGAAACAGATGTATTGTTTACCAATTCAAATGTATGAATGGTAAACTGTATTTAAACAGAACTTGTTAAACTGTCTTAGTGATTAAATATGAATCATTACTGTTGTAGTTAATGTTAGGTCACTACATTCTGTCATGTCATGGAAATGTAAAAAAATGATATCTGTGAATTCTGTGTTTGACTGTATAACACTACAAAAATGGTCAAATAGGTACTTTTAAAAATGTCAGATCTTAAATGTAATCATGCATATCTTTATTTATAGCCTTTCAGACACAGGGATTAGCTCAGAGAAAGGATGAGACACAACAAATGATTCAAAGTGAGTTTTACCTACTAGAACATCTTGAAATGTAATAAGAGATGACACATGGCATATTTTCATATTTTTTATTTTGAGAAATGTGTTATATTGTATTTTTGTGAATAACATTCACAACTATTGATAAGTCACAATTTGTTGTACTGTTGAACTGTTCAAAAGTTGTTCTTATGGTGACAAAATCATGTATTTAAAGTATACTACAGTGAAGCACTTAAATATCTGATATAGTCAATGTTATCTAGTAATTGTTGGAATTATATTGATAACGTACTTTGTTGTGTATTAAATATTAACATTAGATATTATTTAGTATACATTTAGTGTGTGCATTATCCTTTTTACAGTCTACTCAAGAGAAATAGCAGAGGAAAAGTTGCATATACAAGAAATAAAGAAAAAAATAGAGAAACTTGAAGAAGAGCTAATACACAGACAGAAGCTTGTTAAGCAGTATAAACACAATTCTAAAAGGTAAGAAACGTATAAAGTTTAGAGAAGTCTCTGACTTAAGAATTGTTTGATCCTTGGTGTGTAATTAGTCTTTACCATACTGTTCTTTGAAATAACCTGGTCTCACTTTTCTACTCTTTAGTTTCAAAGCATCAAACTCTGTTCTGCTTCGTTACATGAAATCATTGCAGGCAGAATTAGAAAGGCGTCAGGCAGGCATTGAACAAGATATGTAAGTATAGCTCTGAGAGACACTTAAATTGCAGGGCACATGATTCGTGTAATGTATTCATAATTGATGCAGCTGCAGCTTTGTGAAAGAATGAGATTGTGGGTATGAGCAGCCGAAATGAGGTGTCTCTGTAGGGTTGCTGGACTTACTCTCTGTGACAGGTTGAGGAGCCTGGCAGTCCAGGAGGATCTTGAAATAGAGTAGAGTTGCTGCTCCTCGGGATTGAGAGGAGCCAGTTAAAGTGGCTTAGGCATGTGGTGAGGATGCCCCCAGGTGCACCCGCTAGAGGTGTACCCGGCACATCCCACTGGGAAGAGACCCTGGGAGAGACTCGGGACACGCTGGAGGGATTATATCGCTCAGCTGTCATGGGAATACCTGGGAGTCCCTCAGGAGGAACAGGAGACTGTTGCTGGGGAAAAGGAAATCTGGTCTACTCTGCTTGGACTATTACCCCCACTACCCTCACCAGCAGTAAGCAGTTAGAAAATAGGAGACATGGTAAATCATAAAATGTCAGTTAAATGTATTTATTGTCCTATTAATCTAGAGAAGTGCTAATAAGACTTAACATTTTAACATTTAACTTTCTTAACTGTGAAATAAAATGGCAACTGAAATAATTACAAATAACTGTCTTCTCAAGGAAAATGTTTCGTGAGAGAATCGAAAGTTACAAAGAGGTGTTCCAGCAGCACAAAGCCTACTACTGCCAGAATCCTCTAGCGCAAAACCTTCTACAGAAACAGTCTGAACGAGAGGAGATTGAGCACAGGATGAGAGTCTGTGAAAAATATATAGCAGACAAACAAAAAGAGCTGCAGGCTCTGCAAGGTTACTGTCACTATTAATTTTTTTCTATTTCAGTCATCTAAGAAAATAAGGTTTAATTAAATCTAGCTAAAACAGATATATGCAATATTTTGTTAAAATATAAATAATTGAAGCATTTATTTTTTGTTCTGATTCCATTGTACCTATTTGAAACTTTGTGTTACTATTTTTTATTTCAGGAAGCATACCTATACCTCCAATTTCTGAGAATGCATCACATCTGTATCCTTTGATAGTACCATACTGTAGATACAATCCATCCTTAAAGTTAAAATTACTGTAGTTAAATTAGATACATTTTTAAATTTTTGTTGTACTTAATTCTTTCTTGCATTATGAAAATTAATTGTACATTAGATTTAAAACTGAAAATACCTTAAGATTATTTGTACAATTTCTTGAAAACCATAACTATAACTATTATATTTTTTCTACTTCACACAAAACATTTAACATCAAAGGGGTAGACCTATAATTTAACATGAAATTTTACAGAGGAAAATATGTACATAGAAACATTTTGGAAAGATAAATAACTAAATATAAATCACAAACCACTACTTCTGACATCAATTACATATTAAGAATGAAGAAAGTAGAGGATGAACACCCTACAAGTGAAGGCAAGCAAAAATGGCTTCCAATCACTTTGATTCAGTATAGAGTAGGTACGGTTTTCAATGGAAGTGTGCTGTGTCGATAAACTGAGCCAGTAAACATTTCTGTTTTTTATAGGCGGGATGAGAGATGAAAGATGGAGAGGTGAAGATAGTTGAGTGAAATGGGGGTATAAACTGTGGTCTTTATGTCTAACCAAGATGGTTAACTCTGGGTGGATCCATCTCAAAAGATAGCTCATTTGATAATATAAAAACGAATTGAGAAAATTTGGTGCTTAAAGTACGCCTTAGATTTTCTCTTTTGGAGTGTTATTAATTTTATTCACGTTTTTTTGTTCTTCCAAGAACAAAAGTTGTTGTTAATTGTTGTTAAGTAAGTTGTAAGTTGTTGTTTCGTCAAGAGTTATCAATCATTTATTTTCTGGAAATATAGGAATCATGAAAGATAATAGTTGGCGTAGAAGTTGTTTGGTTTTTCTCTGGGTGCTCAGGTTTGGCTTCTGAGAACACTTGCCCAGATGTGGGTGTTAAGTTGAAGTTCCTTTAGTAGTTATTCTTGTGGTTCCAGTAAATACAGTAAAATAAGTTTTGCATGTAAACTAATTATATGGTATTTAGTATCTATCTTAATAAATAACTATTATGTTGGGAGCCTGGTGAATTCCATCAGCTAAGAGATCTATAAAAACACAGATCATTGGAGAGTATAAAGTGCAACCTTGTCTGGTGCCCTTGTACAATCTGGTGGATCTTGAAATCAAACTGTTTGTGATAATAGCGGTTGAAGGAGTATTATATAAGATTTTAAACCAGTTAACAAATGTTCTACCAAAATCTCAAGTGATAACTAAAATGTGATTTTCAATATAACGATAGCTTTATGTTACAGATAAGAATGAATCCTAAGTTATTTAAAGAAAATCAGATCATTTAAATAATGTTTATGCATTTATTTGTATTTATGCATGCTTAGTAGTTTGGTTTGGAGTCATGGATTGTACACATTTCTCAACTTGTGTTACTCTTAACTTATAATCTTTTCTCAGTGCTTCTATGAAGCAGAGTTCAGCTGAGGCTCAGGGACAGATGGAATCGTATGGTGAAGAGAACAGACATGTGGAGGCATCCCTATTTTCTCAGCAAAAGAAACTCCAGGTGGAGTATAAGGAACTAAATGACAAGGGGTGCTGTAGAATTCAGATATCTCTACCTTCATTGATTAAGAATTAAAATCTCCCTCCAATTTATTAACATTTATCAAAAAATCCCCCTTTGTAAACACTGTTAGTCATTTTATTTTGTTTGCCTATTCCATATATTCGTAATTTTCTGTATTTTTTTTTCTGTATTTTGATCAGAAGATCTATTTTTTTATAAAATTCCCTTTACTGGACTTTACTGGACTTCAAAATGAGTTGATAGTCATGTAATGAAAAGAGATTTTAGATGTTTGCTGTACATAAATAATGTGTATCGTATAGATAACTAATGTAAACACTAAGAACGTCTAAATCTACACATTAATCTTATGTAAATATAGTGAAGTGAGTATTGTAGTCAATGTAATGTTATTAATTGTTCAGGTTTTGTGTAATAATGATATTTTACTTGAATCAGAATATGATGACTGATGAAAAGAAGGATGAGAACAGAGAAAAAGATGAAGCAAAAGAAACTGAAGAGGATGTAACTGATGAAAAGTCCAAAGAGAAGAGGTAGGTTCTGTTGAGGTAGAGTCAGGATTTCTGTGTTGAGATTATGGAAAGATCTTCCTTTAACAGCTGATTGAAATATCATAAGGGATTATCATACTCTATTATCAACTTCTGTTGTTATCTTTAGAACTATAATAGTGGGTGCTGGGAATGTAAAGTACTCTCTAGATTATATATTTTATAATCAAGTTAAAACCAAGTTAAATCACAGAATAAATTAGAGGTAAATGTCTTTTGAATCAAATCTGGTTTTAAATGTATCAGTCTGAACAAACCTTTTTACAATAATGTATAAGGACTTGATGATTTTGAGTTTTGCTAATCAGAAGTGATCATGATTTGCCATGTTTTGGTCATGTCAGTCTGTAACAAATATTTTTTTTTCTTAGCATGCCACCTGGCTCCCCATTGGCACTTGTGGATACAAATAACAACTCAATGAGGAAATATTCAGAAATAAAAGGTAAGTAAATAGTAAAGATTTAGAGTTCAATAATCTCACAATTCTGAAATACTCTCTCTAAATAGTGAATAGTCATCAGGTTTGTGCTTTTTATAATTTTCTTACGTCTGACCTTTGGATGTTGTAAATTGTTTTTAAAAATCTGACAGTATATATCATTTATAATATAATAATGAGCAACATTATAATATACAATAATAATGCTAGAAAATATTTTCAACAGCACACATAAAGGTATGCCTTTGTTTTAAAGAAAATAAAATATAAAGAACAAAAAAATACTCTTTCATATTTGGCAGCTTTCTCTACACAAGCTGCTTTTCTGTGGCTCACCAGCCTTTCCCTCTACACTTGCAGCCATCAGCATCCATGCTGCTATGTAAGACTGTTTTCTTGGGGTCGTTAGTCTTATTGTGCACTTGTAGCAGTCAGTATCCCTGCTCCTGAAATAAGGCTGTTGTCTTAGCTGTCCACAGAGCCTTGATGTGCAGCTGCTTCAGCTCAACCTCTAAACACCTACAGAGAGCACTGTGTTTTCACCGTAACTAGCAGTAGCCAAGGCTAAAACGAGCAATAGCTGATCTTACGTGTCACACATGCTTTGTAGATGCACAACTTGTATTTCATCCAACATTGGTTACAATACATACAAAAGAAAGGTTACAAACAAGAGGAGGCCATTTGGCCCTTCTAGCCCTTTTGCCAGTTAGCTATTAATGATCCAAGTATCTGATCCAGACATTTTTTTGGATAAGTCAAATTATTGCTTTTAACATCATGAGTTGGTAGCTGGTTCAATACTCCTATGCTGCTAATCTGTCACTTTTAGAGTAGCTCCCCTGTAGAACAATTACTGTATGTTGATGGCAAATGTTAATCAGCATAAGTATTTTACAAATGTTATATCCTTTCATTAAAATGTCAGTATATTTGCTATAAAATGCATGTCCTTTTCCTACTTTGGGAACTTTGCAAATTTATTGTTCTTAGTGATAAGTTGCTTTAGATGTTCAGTGTTTTTCTTAAATCATACTTCTATTTTTTAACAGGCCAGTTCATAAGTGGATGTGAAGAACTTCAAGTTGAGACCAAAACACAGGTAACTGATAAACATATTTACTCATTTAGTTTATTAAATATTAAAACTACTATATTTTATGTGATGTTTAAGTTTGAAATTGAATAATGAATTGTTGTATAGTCAAGAAGGGGTTGTTTAAAACTGCAAACTAAAGACATTTTGTACTTAATAATTTACCAGTAAAACATTTTTAAAAAATTAAAAAATGTCTCCTGCAGGAGGACCAGCTTCAACTGTTGAGTGGTAACAAGTGGAATGAAACTAATGAGAAAGAGCAAACAGAGGAGGAGCTCATACACTTCTGCACAAATCAGAATGAAAAGGAGGATGAGACAATCTATCCACAAACTCCCCCAGCCAGAATGAAAGCTTCATCAAGTACACCGACGTTCACACTGCAGTAAGCCATCGTTACTTTTCAGTCTGACAGTTTTATATAATGACTGGACTTTGACTGACTTGCGTCCTGCTGTTGCTGACAACAGCAACATTCCCTTGTGCCCTCAACTTGTCATTCAAAGTAGGTTAGGACGTCTTTAATTAAACCTTCAATCTTTTAATCAGGCCCCCAATCTAGTTCCCAGTCACACTGATCACCTCTCTATTTAACTCTGTTCAGAATGCTGAATATTCGCTCCGTTATGAGAGCTTAACCTTACAAACCTAGTGATCGCATTCCTCTTCTAGTCAAGATTATAACTTATTTTTTATCTGATTATTCTTCGATCCTGGAATATTTTCTCCTTTTTAATTTCTTCCCATTTCTGTGCCAAATTGCCAGCCTCTTTTTTCTTTATTTCTGCTGGGGGTCATGCTCCCCTTTTCGATCTGCATTCGATCTGTTACTAACTCTCTGATCATTCAGACAACATCTAAAAGTCCTGCACTTGGGCTTTGACTATATCTCCTGCTGTAGAACCCTTTTCAATTTTCTGCAGCGTTATATTATGTAAAGAACTTTTTTTTCCATTTCCTACAATGGATATAAAAAGTCTACACACTTATTGAAATTGCAGGTTTTTGTGATGTAAAGCCAGAAATCAAGATAAATCATGTCAGACATTTTTCCATCTTTAATGTGACCTTGCAACCAACAAAATTCAAGAGAAAAACTAATAGATAATTATTAGGAAAAATCATTGAAATTAAAAAACCTTCAACACCCTGGTTGCATAAGTGTACACCCGTCCCCCCAACTAATACTTTGTGGAAGCACTTTTGCATTTATTACAGCAGTTAGTCTCTGTGAAGAAGTCTCTATTAACTTTGCACACCTGGACTTTGCAATTTTATCCCACTCTTCCTTGCAAAAAAGTTCAAGCTCCTTCAAATTGCCAGAGGATCACCTGTGCACAGCCCTCTTTAGGTAATTCCACAGGTTTTCTATGGGATTGAGGTCTGGGCTCTGACTAGGCCATTCCAAGACTTTGATCTTCCTTTTCTGAAGCTATTCCTTGGTTGACTTGGATGTGTGCTTTGGTTTGTTATCATGTTGGAAGGTGAAATTCCTTTTCATCTTCAGCTTTCTAAAAAGATTTAAATAGCACAGAGAATATTTGACAACCCACAGTTGGTAGCGTATGAAGGTAAAATTAAGTTTAAACCCTGTGCTCTGCCCTTGGGGCACTCTGGATACATTTTTAAACTTTTTGTTTGTTGAGCTCTGAAGACAGGTCTCTTCCAGTTTTTCTACTGACTTAATAGTAATATTCCCTGTTCACATTTAGTAGTGTAATTCCACGATAACTGTAACCTGAACCTCTAACCAGCAGAAGCCGATCTGACTGGCTGGTCTGAATGCATCTAAAAAGTTGCATGTGATGCATTGTAAGCCTCTGCATTCACAAAAAGAAATATTATTTTATATCAGAACACATCTTGATAAAAGAAAAGCCTTCAGGTGTGCCTGTAATTTTCACAGGAGCCCCATTTGTTCTGGAGATCCGGAGTCCAAGTCTCCTGGCTTTTTATTCTCACTAAATTCAAATGCACAAGAAGCTGCGACATTCCCTGAATTTAACTGTGATGTATTTGGGACCAGATCTTCCCATGAAGAGGTAGGAAACCGTTATCTCATTCACAACCCAAAAGTGAGTTAGTCAAAGGACAAGAGATTACACTAGAACAAATTACAAGATATATTCTCATGGTGAATAGTTAGTGTTAAAACTGAAATTAATATTTGTCTTCTTATTCAAGAGTAAATATCTCTGGTAAATCATCTTAAAAATGCAACTATTATTTGATTTTTTCAGGGTAATCCATTTTCATTCACCAGCTCCTACTTCAGTGAAAAGGTATTTTACTCACATTCTAAGAATACTAATTTAAACCAGATCAAGATTTAAGTAGTACTAAAACCATAAAATAATATTTTATTTTACATTCCAGGAAACCAAAACAGCTTTGCCTTATGACAACAAAGAGCCTGGTATGTTAAGATAAACATTTTCTGTCATTCTTTTTATTTCCTTAACACAAGTAAATGTGCAATTTTAGAATATCTGTTTAATATTAATTTAACAATAAATTTCATGTGGGAGGATTTGAAATGTGTCAATTCATCTGTTATTAAAGGAATTGCTATTAGATTTTACATTAGATTAATTTACTGAAATACATGGATTTAATTTCAGTCTGTAATTTCAGTGCTTTAGTCGTACAAAGAAGTTGTAAAAAGATGTTACTTAAAAGCAGATTTCTGTTTTGTCATTAACATAAAAGTTCACAAAAAAGTAATATGATCCATTTATGTTTACAATGAACTTAAATATAGTGTTCGTGGTCTAATATTTTAATATACCTTTTTATTATAATAAATTTGAGACAGATAAAAATAACTTTCCTTTCCCATATAATCGTAACAACAGAAAAAATACACACCAAAGCGGTAAAAAATAGAAAATTACAGATACTTATTGTACAAATCTAAAGGCTTTATGTCACTTCAAGATTACTGAGAAAAGGAGTCTGCATTTCAGACCTTTAATCGTTTAAAATGGATTATAAGTGACAAACAAATGTGAAAACTGTGCAAAACCCTGAATACTTCTGCAAGGCATATGTCTGATAGATAATAATCACAATTAGGCTCTATCTACATGGCTTGGCACCTCAGTCCCTGTCTGACTTAATATCTCTGCTCCCTACTTTGCAACCTTCATTCATCTGACTCTAATCTTTTTTTAATGTCCCCCAAGTTCATTTACATTCCATGGGTTACAGGGCTTTTTCTCACCTTAAAGCTCTAGTTAGAGAATCACCTACCCCAAGTGTGTTTAAATCTAGACTCAAAACCTTCCATTTTAATGTGTCTGCTGTATTCTTAATTAACCATGTATCTTCTGCTGCACATCTTTCTGCTTGTTTCTTATACAGTATGTTTATTCTAAAATGTGTTCTTCTTATATTTGTTTTATAAACCATCTACAAAGTGGTTTAAGATGCTATTTTTAATGATACTATATAAATTGTTTATAATAATAAAAGCTTACAGTCTAGATACACAAAGGGTAAATATATAATTAATATAAAAAATGGAAAAGTCATGATTGTATAAATATTCATTATATTCAATATACAGTACAATTAGTTGAGAGGCCTCTGTATGCAATAACAGTGCTTAACATGTTTTCAGAAAAAAACACCGATCTGTTTCCTTAGTCAAGTATTGAATTTCAACCATGAAGACTAAGGAACTTTAAAAGCACAGATCAGGAGAATGGTGCAGAAAATATTGATATCTCTGAATAGCCCTGTAAGCATATTCTACTCAGTCATCAAGAAATGAATGCGGCATTGTACCCCAGAGATATTTCCTAGATCAGGCCATCCCTTTAAACTCAACAACTGAGCAAGGAGGAAACTGGTGAGGGAGGGTTAAGACACTGGGAGAGCCAATGACAACTTTAAAAAGAGCTATGTATGATCCAAGTATGATCCAGTGACTGACTACCTCCTTCATGCTTGTTCCACCTTGCACCTGGTTTTACCTCAAAATCTCAGTCTTCTTCTCTCAGTCAAGTGAGAGGAGTGAGATTATAACACAAACCCAACAAAGTGCATCACCATCCCTACTGTTAAGCACAGTTATGTTATAGAGAGTTGTTGGAAACTTTACATAAAAGGTTTGTGCCTGTAGTTGATGCCAAAGGCTTTTCTGTTAGATGTTTTGGAAGTCATCCCATGATCCTCCAGCTTGAATTGGTTTACTTGACCTTTGGCTGAATTTTTCCTCCACAGTCCTGGTGCTTTGTTATTTCCAGAACCGGAAATACATAGTTAAATCATCTAATTAAAATCAATTGATGTCATGTTAAACTTGTGTAGCATGTAAACTTGTGTAAGGCCTCATTTAGAGCATTATGGACAATTTGGTCACCAGGTTAGAAAAAATAAATTAGCTCATATTGCAAATATATTGCTCTTAAGCCCAGGAATGTATATGGTTGCTACTGTATTCTCTGGATTGATTCCAGAATAGCAATATATTTTTCTAACATGGTGTTCCTACCACAGGGTAAAGACTGGCCTTGTAGGTGCTTAATATGCTCAGCCTCAACCAGTTACCAGAATTTGTACATTGATTGGTATCTACTTCTGTGCAATTAAAGTGGTTAACCATTCAGATTGAACTCACCTGTCTGTGTGATTTCCAACTGTTGGACATTGCAAACAAAGCAATATGAAGACAAATTAGCTTCTGCAACAACTAAGGAACAGAGCTGTGGACAGACAAGTCAAAGGGATAGAAGAAGATTCTAAAGACACTACGTATCTCACAGAGCACTCTTAAATGACCAGGTTGTCCTTCAAAACTCAGTAGCCAGAAGAGAAAAACATTGGTCAGAGAAGCAGTCAGGATGCCAAAAACAACCCTCAAAGACTTACAGTGTCTCGTAATTGAAATGGGAGAAACAATTGAGTAACAATAGCTCAGGCACTCCACAAATCTGGGCTGTAATAGTAGAGGGGCGAGGAGGAAGCCATATTTGAAACAAATAGGAGTCTCGTCTTGAATATACAAAAAAAACATGTAGGAACCTCTGAAATGATGTGGAAAAGAATTATGGCCTGATGGAACATAAATTGAGTTATTTGGCCTTCATGCCAAGTATTATGTCTATCAAGAGTAGAGCACCGCTCATCACTCGCAAAACACCATCCCCACATTGAAGAATTGCAGTGGCAGCATAATATTGTAGAGTTGTTATTCATTGGCAGGGACTGGCAGGCTTGTCAAAATAGAGGGCAGAATGGATGGAGCAAAATATAGGCAGATCCTGTAGTAAATCCTGGAACGGTCTGCAAAAGATCTGAAACTGGGACGAAGATTCATATTTTAACAGGATAATGACCCAAAACAGAAAGCTAAAGCAACAAGGAGTAGCTTAAAAAGAAGTTCTTCAGTGGCTTAGTCAAAGTCCAGACCTAAATCATACAGAAAATCATTGGCAGGAACTGAAGATTGCTGTACACCACTACTCTGTCAGCAATTTTGCAAGCTAGAATAGACAAAAATTAAACCACAAGATTTGAAAGCTGGTCACAACATACAGCAAAAGGGGCTCTGGTCGCTGGTGTGGGGGGGGTGCAACTAAATATTAAAGGCTCAGGCTATAAATACTTATCTGAACTGAATTTTTCAGTTTTCTACTTTTCATAACATTTTCTAATAAATGGTTATGCCCCATCAAAATGCTAAGTGTGATTAGTTAATTGTACAAAATAAACTGTTCAAATTTGCTGCAATTTGAGGTTGTAAAACAGCAAAATGTGGTGAAGGTCCAAGGGGGGGTGGGGGATATTCTTTACCCAAGCTGCTTGCACAACTATTTCTATAGTGTTGCAAATGTTCATGACCTTGGTCAGGTTTTGGAGTTGAATGGTGTTGGGGAGAGAGCTTGTTGTGCTGGAACAATGCTAAAGTAAGTTTTTTATGTTTTAAGAAGCTAACAAATTCTGAAAAAATGTCAATCTCCCTCTTAAATTCCCCTACATTGTTGCAATATCCCAACAATCTATAGTTTATTTTTAAAGTCCTGTTTTCCAGGACTTTACACTTATTATATAACTTTGCTCTTCTGAAAAAGATGGCCAATTTCTTCTGTACTTGAGTTCTCTCATCAGTCTCCAAAACTCTTTTTTTTGTACCTCATATTGTACCTCAAATTCTCTGTTTCCTAATTGTCTTCATGTGCCATGGGGTTTTCTTTCTGAATTCAGTTTTAATAAGGAAGGAGAGTGGTCCTATTTTTATTTAGGCTTTCTTTATGTATTTGGACACATCACAGTCAGGAGACTGAATTGTATTCATTTTCATGGGTTTACATTTAGCTTTATTCATCACTTTCCTGATCTGATTTCTTATTGAAAACAGATTAGTTAAAATAAAACTAATTATAAGAACATGCTTATTATTTCTCAATTACAAAGGAGATTTCACAGAGGACAAGAACTACACTGGCGTTAGCTAGCACTAACTTATGCAGATCATTTCTTCTTGAACTGATATTAATTAATTCAAGATCTCAATTAAAAATGATCTTTTATCTATAGGATTCCTGTTTGACCCGATGGAGAGAGGGGAAGAGGAAGAAAAGTTTGAATTCTCCTTTTCTTCCAAGAGCCCTGTTGGATGTGGAGATGCCTTTCCCTTTTTGTTTAACTCTGGGAAATTTCAATGAAAATGTTGGTTGACTGAGGCGACAAGACTTCAACTCAAAATCTACAGTTGAAGCCTATACTGGTAAAAGACAGAAAAAGTAAAACATCTCAAAGTAGAAAATGCATTAGACTTACCGAAAATGAAATGGAACAAATGGGGCTTCTTGTAGTGTCATGCATAGGGAAGGTTAAAGTAAAGATAAGAATTTTAGAAGATAATATTTTTTGTATCCTTCTGTAAATTGGTCTTGTAGTGGTAAAGCCAGTCATATGCGACAAAAACATGTGGGAATATGTATGAAAAGTATGAAAAGCACAAATGCAATTAAACAGAAGTCATGCAATGTTAGTTGTTAATTTACTGCAATTGTTCAGATTGATATAGCATTTATTTGCTTAAATACATCAGCTCTATAAATTTAAATACAAGTACAAAAATGATACTATAAAACATACCTGATTTTGAATCTTGTTGTGTATCCATTTTAGTTTACAATATTATTATTTTAAGTATTACAAATATTTGAGTACAGTAAATGTGAAACTGCTTAAATGTTTGTGTATTGCAGTTAGTTTTTAATTATTAGGAATATTAAATTATTTTAATGATTCTGATTTTAATGTTCAAGTACTTCATTATAAAAAGTTATCCTAATAAATCAGTTTCAATTGCCTTTTGAGAGGAAATATTTTAGTGTAGAAGGTGGCTTTGTTCAATATTTTTTGATATTTGTTCAATATTTTTCCCACAGTTTCACTGTTGTCCTTGAAGATGTTGTGTGACTTATATATTAATTTTACTCTTTACTCTAGGTCATTTTAACTCTTGAACAGCTTTCAGATATAGTAGGAATAACAAACACTACAAATATAAAGTTAACAATAATGAATAATAAAATAATTTGGAGTGTCTTTTTAATTTTAAGTAGCCAATACTGTTAAAGTTATATTAACCTTTCTGAGACATGAAATTAACGTTTAGAATCCTGTAATGTTTAATTATTCACAAATTAAATACTCGAATTGTGGTTTAAATAGGCTAAAAAGAAGTCACAATCCCTTGACACAAGGGGAATGAACAGTAGTGTTGCAATATCCGATAGCTGTGATGAATTTTCTCTGCGTGCTCCGGTTTCCTCCCACAGTCCGAAAACATACTGGTAGATTAATTGAATTCTGGTGAAATAGACCATAAGTGTCTCTGTCCGTCCTGCTAATGATTGGGTCCCATCCAGGATGTACCTTTCTATGCGTTCATCTCTCTTGGCAGATAGGCTATGGCTCTCCAGCAACTGTTAATTTGAAGAAGTGGTTAGAAAATGGATGGATAGATATTAACGTGGATATTTATGCAATGGGGTTATGAAATGTAAATACAGTTAACCTTCTGCAGATAATATCAACAGATATAATAATTAACTCACATCTGATAACCTGACTCTTTATTGGACCCAAAGACAGAGATCACAGGTGGAATTCATCCATTTCCATCAGCTGCATCACATTTAAATTAACTTTTAAAACACGTTCTTTCATAATATGTATATAAAGAAAGTATTAAAAGTACTAATGACTATGATCATAATAAGTATTTAAATTTTATTGCAATATTTAAGCAAGCCATCAGTTAACATAATTAACAGGTACCCTAAAACAGATTTATACAGTTATTAAATCAGTTAAAGTTGGTTTTGCAGAAATCTGTCTTAATAAAACAACATTCCAGTTCAAGTTTGTAATTATACTCTAAGAATGTTCTAAATGTCTGTATTACTATCCTGTTACTAAAAAGCAATTATCACTGATCAGATACATTTGACTAGTTGTCTCAGAAGTGGAGTGTAAGCACCCTTTAACCCTTAGATACTGTACTGGCATTTAATGATTTTCAAAACACAAAAAGGGCAATTTATAACACTACAGACTCTTCACAATAATATTCCCATGTTTTAATGGTTATAACTACTCCATTGTTATAGTTTCCCTAAAAAAAAGAGGTGCAAATATATTGACAATCTTTACCTTTCATATGTTCTTGGAATTAGCTTAAAACCTGTAGCATTATTTCAAAGTAAACTATACAACTAGTAATGCCAATATGCAAAAATATCCTGTTCATATTATATATTTAATCCATTATTACCACATTACATGTAATCAGCAGGTTGATCAAAACTCAATCTTTAAATTCTAATTCACAACAATTTAAACAGTACTCTTCACAAAGTACAGGATATAGATGGCAGATAAGTTATCTTGAGGTTTATATGATTTAGAGACTAACAACATGTACAACACTGTTGGACTGAAGGGAAAAAAGGTACAGCCAAGCCGTCCAGTGAAGAAAAGTGGGCTTGGGCCATACGTGGAGGGGTCTGGCAGTATTCTCAGAAACCTGTCTCTATACTGAGGGTTCTGCGAGTCACATGCTCGATCTCCCCAGTAACATACTCATCGAAACTTGTCTGGTACTTGGCCAACATCTTCAGCATCAAACGCAAGTTCAACCACCACTGCTCCTTGGGCATGCGGTGTCTAAAAGGAACAAAAAAGTCAAAGTTCTTCTGAAATAAGTTTCAACACAGACAAGAAATTCATTTTGTATTAAAATCGCAACTTGTCAAAAAAAGCTGGTGTTCTTTATGATAAAGTCCTATACAGTTGTTCAAGTTGTATATTATTTATAATTTTAGTTTTTTTATTAAGGTTACATATTCACCTAATTTGTAATTGCCGACTCGGTTTTCCATGTCTTGGTTCATGGTTACAAACACTGCAGCCACACACAGAAGACAATGAGGGAAATGCAGGCAACCTCAAATGCCCAACTGCAACTTAGAGCCACTTTTTGAACATTGAAAAGGCTGTGCAGCTTTGTAAAACACGTTCAGCACCCATTGGACAGGCATGTTGTTCACCAAATGTGTGTGAGACACCGCAGGGATCGGTGTGCCTCTAGGAGTCAACAGAGCTCCAAACCCTGTCCTTAGCCATGCACAGTCAATTATGTACTGCGTCTTGAGGAATTCTGGTCACACTTAGCTAGTAACATGATCCAAGCACGAAAAGGTGATGTCTGAATCACAGACTTGAACCTGCTCTTGGTTGTGTGCCATTACCAGTTTAGCATAATGGCTAATATTAAAGCTATTTTGACTATAAGATTGAGAGAAAAAAGTAGAAACCAACTTGCTGTAAGAAAAAATACTCTGAAAGTATATGAACTAACAGCCAGACTGTACTTACTCAAAGTCAGTGTGAGCCTTCAGCTCTGTGACGGGACGGAAAGACAGGACTTTTCTCATCATTCCAATCACACAGGCTGTGTCTGGAGCATTGGCAAATACACGGCCTGGGAATATATACAAATAATAATAAGCTATTCTGATAATATATGTAAGCTGTAATTGTTAGTGCCAGACCTGCAAACAGTAGGGGAGGTGCCTCATACCTTGTCTGTAGGTTTCCTTAAGTTTATCAGTAATCCAAAGTACTGCCTTCACTCCTAGTTTGGTGCCATAATTCCTGTCAAAGGGTGTGGGGGATCCTCCCTGAAAAGTGAAATAAACAAATTAATGACTTTAAAAGTATGCAGCTTAGCCATTACCAGGTGGATATGTGACAATGCATATATACTCAATGCATAGTTGCAATAAATGCATTTCTTCCTACAATAAACATGTTATTAATGTGTGTTGTTCTACTGTAAACACTATCAGTTTAAAGCACATTAAAAGGGATTACTTGGAAAACATTACCATAGACAAATCCCCATAATGAGCTAGTTACGATGTCAGATTTGTGAAAGTATTTGCTGTTTGACCAGGAAAGACATTTGTTCCACTATGGCTGCAAATATAGTGTAAAATGTATCCACAGCTGTACATTTCCTGTCATACGTGATACGTGATGATACTGTAACAAAAATCACAATGTCATCCTATGCAGCATTCCTACCTGCTGCAGGTGGCCCAGAACATTCATCCTGCAGTCGAAAATGCCCTTTCCCTCAGCAGAATACAGGTTGTGTATGAACTCAGTGGTGTAGAATTTGTGGCATTTCTCATTCCTAGTAGAGGAGGAAAGGAGGTCCAGCATATTAGCAGAAATCAGTACACAGAGACACTTTTGTCCAATTTTAATACAGAAGGTTCTTAAAAATATCTAGAAGTTCTACTAACAATATAGTATGGACTGCATCAGCACAAAACATAGAATCTAAGCTAAGTTGTTCATAAAATGATGAACAAATTAGTTAGAAAAACTACAAAGTGTACTTAATATAGTACAGCAAAAAATAGCCAGCAGCCATACCACCCTGCAACTCACAACTGGCAGCCCACTGAAACTAAGCAGGTGTGAGCCTGGTCAGTACCTGGATGGGAGACCTCCTGGGAAAAACTAAAGTTGCTGCTGGAAGAGGTGTTAGTGGGGCCAGCAGGGGACGCTCACCCTGCGGTCTATGTGGGTCCTAATGCCCCAGTATAGTGACGGGGACACTATACTATAAACAGGTGCTGTCCTTCGGATGAGACGTAAAACCGAGGTCCTGACTCTCTGTGGTCATTAAAAATCCCAGGGTGTTTCTTGAAAAGAGTAGGGGTAGAGGAGTTTCCATGTCCTCATCCTTATAGCCAGGCTATCTTTCCATCAGTCAAGCATGTTAAAGTACTCATGCACTAAATCAGTTTTTCCTCAATTCCTCAAATTCTGATCTGTTAGGAGACTCATTAGTGTAGAGTGGATATATAAGACTATATACCCTTAACTATACCTGTTCCCAGAAGGACCATCACCTATGGGACATTACCCCTTCTCGAGAATAAAGCATGGCTGAGTACAGTAGGTCTTACCACACTGCAAAATGACTGTACAAATTAACCCATACTCCAGCCTTACGCCAACATACCAGTACAAATAAAAATGGAAAATCGTATAAATATGTCAGTGGACGTTAAATCCATAGTATCTACCATATTATTGCTTGCTTTTGTATTTATTGCTAATAATACCCTTTGAAAATGCTTTGCCAAAAATGTCCAGGCCTTAACAGTGGCTGCTGGAAAGGGGAAGCACAGGGTAAAGTAAACAGAACAATTCTGCAAAATATTGACTTATACCTCTTGATTTTCATGTTTCCTCCATTTGCTTCTCTGAAGCTAAATTTAAAAATTCAAAATTATTTATATGCTTATAAGAGTTTAAATACCGCACTGTCACCACAAGAGTTCCAATGATGAGTGACTTTGGCACCTCTCTTTTCTATAACCTGAACAGGTTACACAGACTGCAAAAACATAAGATGTGGTACAGATAATATTAAATCTAAACATTTTAAAACAAATTACACATTGATTTAGTTACCTCAACACAAGACCTCTCTGAATATCATTTTTCATCTTCTCTGTGAGATGCTCCACATTTATCTGTAAAGATACAGGATTTTCTAAAGGATTGTAAAGCAGTTTCTGAATAGCACACATTATTGCCAGGTTTCAAGTTGAATAAAATAAAAGGTGTTATATACATTAAGAGTCACTACAATACAAACGTTCAAAATATTCTCCTGTGGCTAATAGATTCCCTGAAATTCACAAAACACTACATTAAAAAGAAATTGCCATGTGTAATCATCACATTCAATGATGATAACTAAGAAAGAAAATGAAGAACAGTAACAAATCTTATTAAAAGATTAAATCACTGGGTCCCAACCTTGGTCCTGGGTTAATTACAGGTGCTAACTAAAGCACTGTAATTGATCCGCTTGCTCATTTAGACCTCTTGTTTCCTCTTATTTACTTTCTTGTTACTCCATATCCATCAAAAATACCTTAAAAATACTGTTTCAACAGCATACTGAAAGTTATGCAATCTCTCTTGCAAAAACCAAAAGATATGATGGACAATCCAACAGAACTAGGGTTTGGAACCACAGTAATTGAGATTTTTCCTTTAACCTACAGGGAAAACGTGTATAGCTGTTTGAGTAGAAGCAGAACTCACCTCAAGGTCATGAATGTTGAAAGGCTCTTCAAAAATATAAGATGCATCTGCTCCCACAGCAATGCCCGTGGTGGTAGCCAAGTAGCCACAGTAGCCACCCATGGTCTCTACAATGAACACACGCCTCTTGGTACCGGAGGCTGACTGCTTGATCTTGTCACAGCTCTGGAGGAGAGAGGTGCACGGTGTCAGGAAAAAGTGATGTAAGGAACTGATAAGCAAGTAGCTCACAACCTTTCAACCTTTCAAGCAACACCAATACAGAGAATACAACAGCCGTTCACAAACTAGCTCATAATGGCAAAGCTTAAGTAATATGCTCAAGCAGTGAAAAACATCAACCATAAATAAATGAGACATCAAACTTAAGATGCTGAATTAATTAAGTGTGAAGAAGATAAGAGAGCCGCCTGGGAAGTGAGATAATAATATAATTTCTTGTTTTTCTTGTTTTTGTGGTTTTTTGCAAACTATGCAGTCTAGTGGTTTGAAGTAGGCTTTGTGCTCAAATGTATATAAAGATGCTGCCTGTCCTTGGTCAGTAAGATAAGGGGCATGTATTTGGTAAGCTGGCTGTACGCCCAGAACAAGAAAAGAACTAACTGTTGTCTAGTCTGCAACTTAGATATAAATTGGCATGTTTGCTGTCTTATCATTTTTTAGAATGTGTCATAGTAACTCTTTTTGTTTTAAGGTATAAAAGACCATCTTCAGCTACTTATTTTTTAAGTCTGGTGGTTGCAAGGGGGAGTTCCATATGCATATGAATAAAGAGACTTCTGCTTCACAGACACCTGAACTTTGTCATTTGTTTGACACTACAAGTGGAAGGTTCACAGTATGAAGACCAACAGATATCAGGGAAGGTAGTTTAACCATCTCATTAATGTGTGACAAATGCCCCAGGATAGCCTTTGGTTCAACTTTGCCATTTACATTATGATCTAGACAAAGAGTATTTCAAATGAAAATTAATTCCATATTCCTATGTTCAGTTGAACTGATTTATTATGAACTATTAAAAATGGACCAAATGCTACTGCTTCCAATACTCATTACTTGTCTATATAATGTCTCTCAGTATATAATGGGGCTATCTTGGTTTTCTTACAGATGAGAAAGTGAATAGCTTAGCCATCTTAATCAGTTCAGAAACTGCCCAGTCAAGAGTCTGGTGCTGAATAAAGGTGCTGCCTCTCACCTCCATTGCTGCATTGACAGCAGTGTCGGCGCCCAGGCTGAAGTCTGTACCAGGCACATTGTTGCTGATGGTGGCCGGAATGACGCACATCACAATACAGAGCTCATCGTAACGCCCTCGTGCCTCAGCCAACTGCAAAACCCCTTCGTAGGCCTGCAGGATTTAAAATAAATACACAACACTTCCAGAAACAGAAGCACTTTTTGTGGCATTGTATCACAATTCTAATATTGCCTTAAAGGATTATTTATACAAATAAAGTGGGTTATGAGTTCTTATTTGATCTCTCCTTAAACTAAATCCTGTAGGTACTACTGTTCACCACTTGCTCTTAAAAATGACCTTCATCACAGCAGGTTTACACTGTATTTGCACAAAGTATAACCACATAGTACAAAACCAAGCATCTTTTGCAGAGCCAGTAAATTGTCTGGTTCTCTTTTATGTTGATTGTTAGTAGTTGGGTTTCATAAGTCCCAAAACAAAATTACATCCTTGTGTGGATCTGAATTAGTTAGGACTAAAATAAAAAAACATTAGTCAAGGCATATTGTAAATGGAGTTAGAACACTAATTTGAATTAATCTAATTAGATATCAGCTGGCACAATAAAAGATTTCATCAAGAGACCTGAGACACTCCGTTCACAAATTATAGAGACTTTGAAGACAATCAAAATGAGCACTCTTCAAGTGCTCTTCAAGAATTTTTGCTTTTTTCTCAGAATTCCCAAGATAACAGCTCCACATACATAAGCTAACCACTTTCTATTTTTGATCCATGTATATTAAATCCATCCAAATACAACCCAGTAATTGTATTTTTGTTACCTCAAATCCTCCTACCACCAGCAATGCCTGGATGTTGTATTTACTAATACTTTCCACTATCTTTTCCATGCAGGAAGAAGGAAGAGTTCTGCAAAAATCAGAAAAATATTTCAGATGATCCTTCTTTACTTTCTGCTTTAATTGCACAGACTGCATTGAATGAGGAGGGATTTTTTTCCTACCACATCACTTTAGACCTCAGTTCACTTTTCTCAACTAAAGAAATGGAGTTTTTAATGAAAGTTCGGGAGGAATGAAGGCAGCCGAGCTCATTCGACAAAGCTGCTGCAATTCCCACTAATTCTGACGTAAGCAACCGGTCTCCATATATACCAAACGTCACCCTCTCTTCTTCCTCGTTCCTTTTTCTGCATTCCTCCTCCACCCCCTCTCCACCTTTGCAGCTGCCCAATTGGTTGCATGGGGGTCCAACGGCCGGGAGGTTGGCCCTCAGCCAAGCGGGTTAAGCCAAGTCTTCACATCCCAATAAACGATTCTAATTTCTCCCAACCTTTGGGCTACTGTCACTCCTTGTGAACCTGGCTTCTTAGAAGTAGTGGTGCTTTGTGTCGTTGATGCTACAGAACAGACGGTGCTAAATCTGTTACTCTCCCTAAAGGAAATTCACCCACCAAGAGCACACTGCAAAATCTTACCGTTTCGTTCCCAGCAAAGAGCCTCCCTGTCCAGTCCAGCCGGCTACATCGTGCCAGTTGACTTCTGTCACCTGACCACAAACAACAAAAATGTTTCAACTTAAGACAGCCAACATATTCTCTAGTCAAAGTGTGATACCTACATTGACAACAGGTCAAGAGGCATATTTTTGGGCACACTACAAAGGCAAACACTCTGTAACTCTGTAAAGACTGTAACATAAGAAAGTCTGATTACTTGAAGTTTGAAGAACTTAATTCAGATCTGGAATTTCAAAGAAACCGTGACGCACGGGGGAACCATGCATTTTAAGCAGCTAAGAGAAAGAATTGACGGAGACCAACACATTTTCTCTATATTCAGCCACATCACAAATGTGCTAGGAGACAAATAAAGTTTATTTTACAATACATTAACCCAGCTCCTGGATATCAGTACCAGTTCAGGAAATGGTGGGGAAGAGTGGATTACAGTCAGATCAGCTGTGGAGGGCTATTTAAAGGGTTATAGACAGGAGACAGACAGGAGGAGGCCTTACTGCTCCATTGGCCAGCCCTTCGAAGCCGTCATTGACTGTGTAGATCCTGTGTCCTTGAGCCAGCCCCACTCGGACTGCTGACCTCACTGCTGCATTCATCCCAGCAGCTGGGGCTCCCACGTTCAGGATGGCCATGGTGAAGTTACTCTGAGGAGGCCAAAAAAGCCACAGGGTCTCACTTTAAAAACGTCAGAAAAGCATATCGCACCACATCATCACAGCTTTCTGATTAAAAACTGAAATCAGATCTCATAAACTTAAAAGCTGAAGTTCACTGACAATTATTACACCAAATGTGTTCATAGAATAAACATAATACAAAACACGAGAATGAAAAATAACTGCCTTAATTGGGAAGTGTACAAGATAATACAAAACATTCGGCAATGCTGAAGCTTTTAAACAAAATGTTTTTCATACCTTGGACTGTGCAGGTTTTTGATGTGCCAGTAGCTTGTAGGTGTTCCAGTTATTCTCAAAACTCCTATGACATTAACAAGAGTCATTAATTCATATAATAAGGCTTAGCAAAAGCTAAGTACTCAGTCCTAGTTCTGTATTAATTTTATTATATTTAGGATTAAGGTTGGAATACTTCAGTACAATCAGAGGTACAGTGTAGTAATACCAGTAATGATGCTTTAGTATTATATTAAAAGAAAAGACTTAAAACGTTAAATTTCTAGGTACCTTATAGAAGTACTTTATTGAAATCTAAAAATCATCTTAATAACGTCTAGTTACTTTAAAAATGCAGTAGGTTTTCTTTTCAATTTGGAAACCTATTTAAAATCACCACTTGTTAAAGGGCTCAGATCATTGCTTCAACCTGCAAACCAGCACAGGGAGAATGATGTCCTGAGTACACTCTTCCAGCAGCCTCACTGTTGAGCCCCTTGCCACCTGACGCACTGGCAGCTTCACTGTGGCCGCACCAGCCAGAGGAGTGGCATATCTTTCAGAGACACTTCTGCAAGTCCAGCAAGTCACAGGACCAACTGCTGCATAGCAGCAAACCTGATATCCAGTAACTTAGTGCTGGCTTAAACTTGACAGCCAAGAGTCTCATGTCCATCCTTGTCCACTTTAGGTAGAAAAAAAGATTAAAGCTAAAAGGAAGAGGAATCTATAATGCTGACAATGTAGAAAATGAACAAATTTCACTGGGCTTGAGCATGGCAGTTTTACTAACTCCACATCCTCAACAGGCACGGGTTTCTGTTTCAACAGGTTTACTTTGGAAAAGCAGTTTATTGCATGTGCTCTGCATCTTACTTCTCACAGTGCAGTTCACTTCACACCCACACCCATAGCTCAGTTGTCTTTCTTGGTCCAGGATTTCCAGACTTTTACTGGAATTTTATACAGCAGGGACTCAACATCTGTGAATTTAACATTCGCAAATTTGCTTATTTAGGATTCAATCCAGAGAATGGAGTTTCGGATAGAAGAAAAGCAGAGCATTTGTTTTAGTTGATTAATGCATTTTTAACTTAAAGCCAATGCATTAGTACTTAATAAATTATATAAAGAAGGATTACTTATGTATTTTAATCATACATACTATATACCGTAGAACATTATGCGACAGTATATGGGTGGACTTGATTATGTGCAAATTTGACTTTGCAACAGTTCTCTGCATTGAATGCTCGCAAATGTCGAGACCCCACTGTATTAGCAAATTCTAATAAAAGAAGAAATAACCTGTAAATTACTTGTAGCAACTATTTAAGAACAGAAATGTAGGTAATAGATAGGGCAGCTCAAACTGCTCTTCTTAGTCAATTAAGACAATCAGGAATTTCAAAACTATTACTCACTTCCCACGCAGCTGGATGGTCTCCTCAAACCTCTGTTCATTCATTGCTTTTTGCACCTCCTTGGTCTTGAAACAAAATAAATTCAGTGAATACATAATCAACAATATTCAATCTGTCCATCTTCATTTCCCTGTAATATTTTACATTTTGATTAACTATATAAATGGCTCAAATTACTATGAGTTATTTGTCTCTTCTAATATTTAAAGTGGCTGGCCCAATCACTGGCATCAATATATACACTGTAAAAGGATGATTGAGTTTATAAAAAAATATAGGACAGGATGGCCATTCAGAGTTTTGGGGACATCACAGAGAGCAAAAAAACGGGGAAAAATTGCAGTAAGATTGCAGTACAGTATAAATATACTTAGGGGGTGTTTTGTTTCTTAAGCTCCATTCATGTTTAAGAGATGGCTGAAGTCTTGTATGTTGTCTAAAAAAATGGTAATTATGCTTTTATGCATTACTTTGAGAAACACTGTTGAGGCTTGTGTGCCTTGATGACTGCAGGCTAAGTTGTCCAGGGGTATGACGTACCATCTGCACACATTCCATGAGCGGTAGTCGCATAGCCATGTTGCCCGAAAGACCGATGACACATGCAGGGGTCTCTGGAGTGGCTTCCAGAAGGGCCACAACAGCCTCCACTCCCATCTTACTGCTCTGTGGAGAAAATGAGCACAGGCCTCACGCACAGCTTACTGCTCCACACAGAAGAGCACTGAGCACAGGCCTCACGAACAGCTTACTGCTCCACACAGAAGAGCACTGAGCACAGAACTCACGCACAGCTTACTGCTCCACACAGAAGAGCACTGAGCACAGGACTCACGCACAGCTTACTGCTCCATACAGCAGAGCACTGAGCACAGGACTCACGCACAGCTTACTGCTCCATA